AAAGGGGTTCCAAATATGAGAGGTCTATGGCTACTCTCTCTCATTTCCACAATCTGGAAATCAGTAGGGATAGAGCAATTTCCAATCTGCACCATCACATTAGGCACAAAGCCATAGGGGGTTTGTGAGAATGAATCAGCATAGTTGATGGAGATGGATGATGGCTCTATCTTGGTGAGGCCTATCTTGTCAGCTATCCTCTTAGACATGATGTTCACATTGGCTCCTGTGTCACACAAAGATTGCTCAAGAATGTTACCTTTGATGATACAAGGCACAACAAACTTTCCTGAGTTATCTGTCTTGGGGATAATCTTTGGGAAGAGTCTTCTCTTTCTAGCTCGATTGGACTCTCTCTCTGGGTAATTCTCTTCAGGCCAAATCATGCAATCAACAGTAGGTTTTGAAAGCATCCATTCTGGAACTTGGTCTTCAAATCTTTCTTCTATGGCGGCTGAGTTGCAAAAGGACTTCTTGGATTCAGCTTCCTGTCTCTTAACAGCTTCCATAGTTTGAGTGACTTGAGTCTCTAGTTTCTTCACATGAGTGGCAACAGCATCATACTTGGTGTTGAGATTGCTGAACAAAGTGTCCATCTTCTCATACATCTCTTTATGTTTCTCTTCTGGCCATCCATGATCTGTTGGAGGATTCCTTCAAATCTCCCACCTTGTTGGTTTGGAGGAGCTTGATTTGGTGAAGAAGCATATGGCTCCTTGGGCGGATATGATGATCTCTGCTCATATCCTTGCCTTGGCTGAAATTGACTTCCTTGAGATTGGTAAGGAGGTCTTTGTTGTTGTGGATACCTTGGAGGATACACTTGGTCTTGAGGATTCTCCACATTGGGGTTTCTATAAGACATGTTGGGGTTTGGGCGATAGCTTGGATTGTATCCCTTGTTCCCATAGTTTCCAATGTAGTTCACATCTTCTTCATTGGCTTCATTAGAGAAGTCTCCCATGCATTCTCTTGATGAATCTTCATTAGCATCACTCATCCCTTCTATTGCATTGATATGCTTGAGCTGTCCCTTAAGAACTTGAGCCATCATGTTCTTGAGTTCAGTCATTTGAAAAGAATCAGGGGAGCTAGTAGTGGTGCGGCTTGAGCGGTCATAATCAGGACAGTTGTTACAATCACTAGCTGCAAGATTCTCAATAAGAACCTTAGCTTCATCAACAGTCTTGGTCATGAAGTTTCCATTGCTTGCTGTGTCCAATGAAAGCTTGTACTTGTGGTCAATGCCACGATAGAAGATGTTCCATAGGTTTCCCTCATTGAAACCATGATTAGGGCAGTCCCTAATGTACTCCTTGAATCGATCTAGCGCCTCATAGAAAGACTCATTGTTGGCTTGGCGAAAGTGGAGATCTTGTTCCTCACAGAAATTGATCTCTGTTTGGTGTAGAAGTGGTTGATGAATGCAGCCTTGTACTCATCCCAAGTGGTAATGGAGTGAGCTGGCAGAGACTTCAACCATCTTGAAGCTTTGTCGCCAAGAGAGAATGAAAAGAGCTTGCACTTAAGGTAGTCAGCAGAGACTCCATTGGATCTTGTAGTGCTGCAAATTTCTTCAAAGTTTTCTATGTGATCAAGAGGGTGCTCAGCTGGAAGGCCATTGAATTGGTTCTGTCTAACCAATGCAATGATCTGAGGCTTGATCTCATAGTCATTCCTTGCAGGAAGTGGTGGATGGATAGGGTTTCTATCCATGAAGAAAGCATCGGCAGAGTCATAGTCTCCGATTGTAGGTGCTCCGGCTTGGGGTTGTGCATTCACATCTCCAGCAGGGTTAGGAGGAGGAGGAGGTGGATCTCTTCCTTCTTCATTGAGCGCGCGCCACTTCAGCGGCGTGAGCGCGAGCTGCTTCGTCGGCCATCTCTTGGGCTTTTGCTTCCTAAGTTGCTTCTCAAGCTTGTCAATCTCTGGATGTTCAACTAGGTTGTCCTTGTTGGACCTCCTAGTCATGCACCTGAAAAGAGTCTTGGAAACAAGTTAAATCAAAAGGGAAAAACAAAAACAAAAGCAAAAATCAAAGAAAAGAAATCAAAAACTAAAAATTCAAAAGCAAAAGAAAAGCAAAACAGGAAAAGGTTCTAGACTAGATCCTAGTCGAGTTCCAAAGGTACTGCTGCAGTCCCCGGCAACGGCGCCAAAAACTTGATGTGGAGTCAGGTTTTACCAAACTCCTAGACCTCTGCAAGTGCACAGATCGCGGAAGTATGGGTATCGAACACAAGGACTGGCTATTGAGTACACTTTGAAACTATGGATTTTGGATCAAGCTAAAACAAAAGTATGATTGAGGTTGTAATGGTGAACCGAACTAGCAAGTATAACGAGGTTGTAAATCAATAAAGGAAAAGCGCTAGGTCATAGGGGCTATCGCAGAGAAGCAAGCAATGATCAATGAAACAATGATAGATTAATTGATTAGGGATATTGGGATATTAAGAACCATCTAGAACACAGATCACGAATATAAAACCATTCCACTTTCGAGGCTCCGGCTCCTTTGTTAATCTACCTAGTCGCTAAACTTTTGGTATGTCCCTAGGTGATTAATCAAGCTTAGAATGAATAGGTTCTGATACAGTTCACTAGATATAGATAGATCAACTTTCGCAGTCTAAGAAACCTAGCTTGTCAAAGAATATGTCCGGCGAATGATACAGCACTGTCGAGGCTCAAATCAACCTAAGATCGGATTACTAGATGCGCGGTAAAGCAATCAGCATTAGTTAAGTGCACAAGACGAGACAAAGACTCTAATATAATCCCTAGCTAATCATTGAAATCAAAGATCATGCAAGCAACTCATTGAATAGTAACCCTAGCAACCTAACTAGTGGATTACTCAGACATGATCAAAGCAAACACACATAGAGATGAAGAAAACATGATTGCAATAAAACTTAGAGTAGGAAATCGAAATACAAGGCGGCTCTCTTTTCACAAGAGGCTAAAAATATATATATAGTGCTAGGTCTTCTAGAGGCGGCTTAGGGTTAAGCCGGGCTTGAAAATATGAAATTGGGCTTCAAAACGGGCTTCGGGTCGACCGCGGCGTTGGGACGGTCGGTCGGGACGATCGGCCGGACAATCGGGTCGTGGCCGAGTCGGAACGGTCGTGGTCCGGACGATTCACGGTCGGTCGGCGTGGTCGAGGATATAGGTTTGGCCGATGAAATTCTCGGCCGGACGCGAGGCGTAGTTCCCCGGGTCGGACGGAGTGTTCGTGCGCGGTACGTAAGACGAGTTGCGCGGCCGCGAGGCGTTACTCCCGGCTCGGCGCTTTGGTCGTGCGGTGTGGCGTGGCCGTTTGGCGTGGCCGACCGCGGGCTTAAGTTTCCCGGGTCGTGATGCGTGATCGGCCGAGCGGTTTGGACTTTGGCCGAGACTTCAGACGGACGGACACATTTTGGCCGAGCGCGGAACATGCGTTCCTCGGCCAGCCGGACTGCGCGGTTGGGCGCTGTTCTCGATAGAGCCGTCTGGACAGTCTCCTCTTTTGGTTATAACTCCTTTTCTACTCATCCAAATTAGGCCGTTCCAGTTGCGTTGGAAAGTTAACTCAATCAGAGCACGCAGGGAACTGGTCTTGATGACTTGAAGTGCAAAGCAGCCAAGCCGTGCTAAGCGGCCGGCCAAGGAACGCATTTCCGCGGTCGGCCAAAGAGCCTCGGCCGAACACACGTACCGACCCGGGAAGCAATGTCCCGCGGTCGGACAAGTCACGATCATTCAAGACGATGCCGCGCGAGCCGGGAAGCAACGCCTCGCGGCCGTGCGACTTGTCTCACGTACCACGGCCGATGGCGCCGTCCGATCAGGAAAGCCGCGCCCCACATTCGGCCAAGAAACATCGGCCAAGTCCTTCATCTGGCCAACCTTTTGTTTTTCTCTTTCTAGAGAGGATTCGAATCTCTGTTCTTATGAATATGAATTCGTGTTCCTTCTCTATGTCTGAGTAGTTTACTTGTTAAGTGATAGGAAGTCAAAGGATAGCATTCATGTATGCTTGATGATTGATCACAATTAGGGTTTTACTTATAATCTCCATCTTTGCTTATACTTAATGCTTGTTGTTAATCTGGCCAATTAGCATATGCTTTAGGTTGATTTGAGCCTCGACAGTGCTGTATCATTCGCCTGAACTAGTATTTGGTGGGCAACCTCTTTTAGACTGCGAAAGTTGATTTACTTGTAGGTTGTGAACAATTGAACTTAATCGAACTAATGCTTGATTTAATCACCTAGGGACATACCAAAAGTTTAGCGACTAGGTAGATTAACAAAGGGGTCGGAGCCTCGACAGTGGAATGATCATACCATAGTGTTTCAAGTTCTAGATTAGCACCTAATTGCAGTAACCCTAATTGATTGATTTCATGCTTCATGAATTGCTTATCTTAAGACTATCCTATTGCTTAGCCCTTTCTCTCCTATTGATTTCACTTTCTTTATTACTTGCATGCCTTTACTTTACTGCACTCAACCAACTTATACTTTTGCCCTAGCTCGATCTCGAACTTATAGCTTGTAGTGTGCAATCTGGTCCTCGTGTTCGATACCCGTTTACTACTTCTGACCTGTGCACTTGCAGAATCAGGGATAGGAAAGGGGAAGACCTGATCCCGCGATCAAGTTTTTGGCGCCGTTGCCGGGGACCAATTCGCACCTACAAGTTCTTGCAAGAGAGCTAGTCTAGGGTTTTCTTTTTCCTTTTTAGTTTTGTTATTTTCCTTTTTCTTTTGATTTGGTTTTTCCTTTTTGTTTTTGAGCTTTTCAGGTTTTCCTAGTTAGATATGGAAAGGATTCACAAGTCCTTCCTATAAAGGCGATTCCACTTCGCCAATACCACCTCAAAGAACCTCTTGGACGAACAAGAGATGTCAAGCCCTCAAGCACCACCTGTAACACCCCCGGTTCGGTCTATGAATAGACTAAACCGCAGATGCCACAAGTCGAGGTTCATAAGATAGGCCGTCTTGGGTCTAAGAACAAATCAGAGCCCAAGTCAGCTAATCCGATGAATACGACCCTCTCGACCATCGGTTAAGGCTTTGCAACCTGCTCCTCCGGTCTTGAGTTGTGTTAGCTCCGGACAAGAGCTAATATCATTCGAGAGGCCAGATTTGTAAAAGATAACTTTATATAATAACCTTGTCAAAACAAGTTCTTACAAAACATTTATACTATTTGCCGCAAGGCCTAATGCCCAAAGCATAGCTATTGCATATAATAACCTGAAATCGAGTTTTGCAAAAGCCAAGCCAATCTACTCCGGTCTTCAGCTGTTCTGCCTCCCGTCCACGGGCTTCTACTAAGGGTTACCTGTAAGACAAATAATCATCATGAGTAACCTAATGTTACTCAGTGAGTTCAGGACCCTCTATACAAAGGTTATCCCCAAACCCAAACCCCAAAAGAAAAAGGCGGGATCTCATCCGCCACCTGCAACACAAAGCAATTATGCAATATTGCTGCTATAGCCTTAAGACTAACCGTACCCCAATCAAACAAGAACAGGTACGATCAATCCAAGACTATAACAACACTCAAACAAGCAATCAATCAATCAAGCAATGCACACAATCAATCTATATGCAAAGCAACCCTAATCAAGTAGCGGAATACTTGACTTCTACATGCAGTGAGGCCTCTAGGTGCATAAGCCACATTCTCAGCCCACGCCTGTGAAGGTTCACGCTCATCCGGAATCACACAGAAACTAGATGAACGCCTTCACCCGGGCACTACAGTCCATCGCGGTACCCGGTTCATCCTTCCATCTATTGGCCTTACTGGCGCACCATGCCAATGTCTGGTTGGATCCCATATCGTCATATGGTACCATACTCGGCCAAGGCAGCTGACCAGGTTATCCTCCGAGTCTTCCTCCCTTCATGCACAGCCTCCACGCTGCCAATCCGGTTGGGCTCTGACGTGCGAGAATGCGCTTGACTACACCTTCCTAAACAACATGTGGTTAGACACGCCACATGTTCTCAGTACTTAGCATATGGGCCTTTACGCACCACTATGCCTCATACCCTCGGTTCTGCGGCAGAGCTTCCCTTGCCTCGGAAGAGTACCCACACGAACCTCGAAAGATCTGGCGGCTCAGCCGTCCGTGATCTTTCCACATCGGAGTCATACTCAACATATGGGCCTTACGCACCACCATGTTAGCATGCACTCGAGGTTTAGCGGCATAGCCATGCTATAACCCCACAACCGATGCATCTCTATGCACCTGCATAAACAAGATCTGACGGCATAACTGATATACCTCTAATTTACCCACTTTTTATACTGTTTTAGCATTGTTTTCTAATGGTTTTTGGCAGGTTTTCTATCTAAAAAGGTAGTTTTACTGTGTTTATAGTGTCTAGAGTCTAAACAGGTGAAATGATGCATTTTGGAGCAAAACCATAGGATTTGCACTTCAAGCAGCTCCATGCACAAGCACCAACTTTAAGAGGGCCCAGAAAAAGATCTACTCAATGGATTTCATCAAGACCAGTTCCCTGCGTGCTCTGATTGAGTTAACTTTCCAACGCAATGGAATGGCCTAATTTGGATGAGTAGAAAAGGAGTTATAACCAAAAGAGTGAAGACTGTCCAGACGGCTCTATCGAGAAACAGCGCCCAACCGCGCAGTCCGGCTGGCCGAGGAACGAATGTTCCGCGCTCGGCCAAAACCGTCCGTCCGACTGAAGTCTCGGCCAAAGTCCAAAACCACTCGGCCGATCACGCACGACCCGGGAAACATCCCGCGGTCGGCCAAGCTCAACACTCACGCCACACCGCGCACGACCAAAGCGCGCGAGCCGGGAAACAAGCCTCGCGGCCGCGCAACCGTTCCGCGTACCACGGCCGATGCATCCGTCCGAGCCGGGAAAGAACGTCCCACGTCCGGCCGAGAATTTCATCGGCCAATTCATCCGCTCGACCACGCCGGCCGACCGCGAATCCATCCGACCCCGACCGTTCCGACTCGCCCACGACCCGATTCCGGCCGATCGTCCCGCACGACCGTCCCAACGCCGCGGTCGACCCGAAGCCCTTTTGAAGCCCAAACTTATGTTTTCAAGCCCGGCTTAACCCTAGCCGCCTCTAGAAAGACCTAGCACTATATATATGGATTTTTAGCCTCTTGAGAAAGAGAGCCGCCCTTGTATTTCGATTTCCTACTCTAAGTTTTATTGCAATCATGTTTTCTTCATCTCTATGTGTGTTTGCTTTGATCATGTCTGAGTAATCCACTAGTTAGGTTGCTAGGGTTACTATTCAATGAGTTGCTTGCATGATCTTTGATTTCAATGATTAGCTAGGGATTATATTAGAGTCTTTGTCTCGTCTTGTGCACTTAACTAATGCTGATTGCTTTACCGCGCATCTAGTAATCCGATCTTAGGTTGATTTGAGCCTCGACAGTGCTGTATCATTCGCCGGACATATTCTTTGACAAGCTAGGTTTCTTAGACTGCGAAAGTTGATCTATCTATATCTAGTGAACTGTATCAGAACCTATTCATTCTAATGCTTGATCTAATCACCTAGGGACATACCAAAAGTTTAGCGACTAGGTAGATTAACAAAGGAGCCGGAGCCTCGAAAGTGGAATGGTTTTATATTCGTGATCTGTGTTCTAGATGGTTCTTAATATCCCAATATCCCTAATAGTGAATGGATTCCTCCGTGGCAGGGATAATTTTGTCAGCGCCTTGAATACATCCCCGAACTCGTGTACCACCAGGATATCCTCCACTTTCAACTTCTTGTCTTCTTTCTTTTCCACCACACCAATCACAAGGAGATATGCTTCTCCTCTCTCCATCTGCATTTCCATTCGCAGATCTGATCCTAACAACATTGCCGTACTAGGACTGATTCCTTGGTACGCAATCCTCTATTGCTGAGACCCTTTGAAGATGATTCTTCTCTCTCACATTCTAGCTGAGCTTCATAGCTAGATAACCAATCCTTGCACAGGATTTCATTGAAGCGGGCTAAGGGTAGAACTAGTAGGTCAGCGCTGAAGGTCTCTTCCTGCAAAACAACATAAACACTACACCCGACGCTTTAAGGGTTTGGTCTCCTGAGGATAACACATGATCCCTAAGACAACTAGTGTTGCAAGTGCACAACATATAATTGTAGTATTTAGGGGTCGAACCACAAGGGATTGGATTTCACACATTACATAATCATAGAGTTTAAATGACTAAGCTAAATCAAAAGATGCAAGGGTTTGTGTTTGTTTAGAACACGCAAAAGAAATAACAATGCAATTCTATACAAGCAACATTATTGAACTATTGAAAACTCTTTTGAAAACATGAGCCAAGTCGATTGAAAAGTTTGTTAAAATCCGATTCTTTTGAACTCAAAACACTAAGGAAGGATTATTCCACTTTCGTGGTTCCAATCCCCTATGTCTCTTAAACCAATGGGCTCAGCTTTCGTTGGTCATTGTAGAGTGAGACATGCATTACATCCAAGTAATGATTGTTCACAAAACTCTTTAGGTCTACTTTCGTAGCCTAAAACGATTTGCCCATCAAATATTGTGTCCGGAGATATAACAAGCTTTTGGAGAGTATATCAACCTAAAATCAAGTCACTAGTTAGCTACTCTAGCAACAAGCATTAAGCATAAATAAAGATGGAGAACCATAGGGTTTCCCCTTTTAACAATCGATTTTCAAGATGGCCATTATATCACGTCCTCATTGGAAGGATCCATAATTCAACAATGAGTCTTAGATAGTAGATGAAGTCTCATGAATCCTTAGAGAGAGAGGCGGCGGAATATAGACTAAACCACGCCTCACCCTTAGGGAGAAATCTCTACTTCTAGACTATATAAATTGAAACATGCAAGCTATATACAAATGCAAAAGAAGAAAAGAAAGAAGAAGGAGACCACCTAAGTGGCTCCGAACTTTATTGAATAAGTGTTTCTTGTTATGCGGCTGGTGATTCTTATTACAAGAGGCTAAAAGCAAGTATATATAGGTAGAGAGCGGGTCTAGGTCGGCAAAGTTGAGCGCGCGCAGAAGAGGAAAGTTTCCATTTCTCTTTAGCCGCTTGAGCTTGCTCTCCAAGTTCTTGAATGGGCCGCGTTCAGGCCAATGGAAGCTTCTGGATTGAGTTATGCTAGTGTCAAGATGAGCCAAGGCCTTGGGCGCGGTATCGGGCCTCTTGATCCATCAAAGTCTCCATGGGCTCTACTTAGGCGCTCGTCGGACATGTCTTGGTAGAAAATAAGTTCCGGTCCAACGAGTGATCCAAATGACCTCTTTCCACTTCGCCGCGGGTCATGACTCAAATATCTATCTTTCCATATAAGAAACATGACTTTTGGACGTCGGGAAGGCATGAATATGCGGTCGTACTTCGGATGCTCCGGTTTGGTCTTTAGCGAGAAATGTAGATTTGGTGCTCTAGACTTGGGAACTTGGTGATTTGACTCTTTTTGCTCCATTTTGGACTCTTCTTTGCTATTTTGACCTGAATGATGCTCAAAACCAGAATATACAAGAAAACTACCTCTTGGGCTAAAAACCACATTATTTGTATTGAAAACATAAAAACCTTAGTAAAACCGTGTAAAATATAGTAATATCAGGTTACCACCTACACATATTGTTCCTTAGCACCATACCACAATACTAATATACTTACTAATCAAGCAAGCAATCACACAAAACAACCACACCCAAACAATAACTTAAACAAGTTAGAGTTAGCACCCTTATCTTTCTATGGTAGGATCTTTTACCGATCCCAACGGGTTTGATGTTTCTGCGTCTAATGCGGACACCTCACCCATGCTTGTCAGACGATTGGTCGGGGATCCGTTCATTGGTCAGCTCGACGCTTCTAGGTCTTGTCGCCACTTCAACGATCTTGTGAGGACAATTTGGGGAGAAATGTCCTTTCTCTCCACAGATGTAGCATGTCGCACGTATTGGAAGATCTGGTACTGAAATAGTACGGGGACAAGATCGAGCGAAATGTCCCTTTCCTCCACATGTGTAGCATGATTCGCCATCATTCCCGGATTTCTGGCCTCCTTTCTTTGACTTAGTTGCGGCTCTGGAATCCATTTTTCTTTTCTTCCAAGCGGCTTTCTCCTTTTGCAGATACGCCTCCACATCCACTGCTCTTTCTATCACTTCATGGAGATTACTGAAAGTGACTGACTGTAGTCGACTTTCTATCTTTGGCTTTAGTCCTTCCATGAACTGTCTCACTAGGGCTTTATCATCCACGTTGCAGTATGAGATATACCGCTGTAGTCTCATAAACTCCGCTTCATATTCTCGAACGCTCTTCTCGCCTTGGTTTAGTCGCATAAACTCATTGGCTAGGTGATCTCCTGCTTCGGATGGAAAGTATTTCTGTTCAAACTCCTTTTTGAACCCTTCCCATCTGTCGATGTGATACTCCTGCTGTCGATTCATGCTTTCCCACCAGCTTAACGCCTCCTTCTCTAGGTGATAGACTCCAACGTCCCTTTTAAAGTCGTTTGTACATCTGGTCGCTGAAAAGTTCTTCTCCACACATTGTAGCCATGCATCCGCCTGGTAGTGGTCCGGCTCTCCATTGAATAGATAGGTTCTTAAGGTCTTCATGATTGTTGCTATCTTGAGAAAGTATGGTGGTAGAGCTATTCCGTTGCTTGTGCCTAGTATGGCCTGGTGCAACACTTGGGATAAAAGATCATGCACCATGGATAAAGTTGTATCGGCCCGTTGTTGATCTCCTGGTTCCGATGGTGCCTCAGCACCTTGTCGTGCTTGTTGATTCGCAGATCCGGAATGCTCAACTCGAACATTCCTAAGCGGTGGATGATGAGACCTCGTCCCTTGAGAGTGAATGGAGGATGAGTAAGGTGACATAGAGTACTCCCTTCTCTCTGGATATTCGTAGTCCGGATTCTCAGCTTGCCCATCTGTCTTAAGAATGTTTTCATGCATCATCTCCTCAGGCTGACCTTCTTCTTCATTGCTGTGCATAGCCACATCTGATGGCTCACTTCTACCCATATCCTCTGGCGCACTCTGACCCTGACCCAATGATAAATCCCTCGACCTCTCGTGACCTCCTCTGTGATTTGACATCTGCACCAGGTAATGGGTAAGTCCTAACTTACTAATCCTAATAGGCAGAACAAACCGGATTCCTAATTTGGCTTTTGCGACACATTTTGACTCGATAAAACGGCTTGTCCCGTGAGCATGACCATGAACCATGCTCTGATACCACCATTTGTAACACCCCCGGTTCGGTCTATGAATAGACTAAACCGCAGATGCCACAAGTGTCGAGGTTCATAAGATAGGCCGTCTTGGGTCTAAGAACAAATCAGAGCCCAAGTCAGCTAATCCGATGAATACGACCCTCTCGACCATCGGTTAAGGCTTTGCAACCTGCTCCTCCGGTCTTGAGTTGTGTTAGCTCCGGACAAGAGCTAATATCATTCGAGAGGCCAGATTTGTAAAAAGATAACTTTATATAATAACCTTGTCAAAACAAGTTCTTACAAAACTTTATACTATTTTGCCGGCAAGGCCTAGTGCCCAAAGCATAGCTATTGCATATAATAACCTGAAATCGAGTTTTACAAAAGCCAAGCCAATCTACTCCGGTCTTCAGCTGTTCTGCCTCCCGTCCACGGGCTTCAACTAAGGGTTACCTGTAAGACAAATAATCATCATGAGTAACCTAATGTTACTCAGTGAGTTCAGGACCCTCTATACAAAGGTTATTCCCCAAACCCAAACCCCAAAAGAAAAAGGCGGGATCTCATCCGCCACCTGCAACACAAAGCAATTATGCAATATTGCTATAGCCTTAAGACTAACCATACCCCAATCAAACAAGAACAGGTACGATCAATCCAAGACTATAACAACACTCAAACAAGCAATCAATCAATCAAGCAATGCACACAATCAATCTATATGCAAAGCAACCCTAATCAAGTAGCGGAATACTTGACTTCTACATGCAGTGAGGCCTCTAGGTGCATAAGCCACATTCTCAGCCCACGCCTGTGAAGGTTCACGCTCATCCGGAATCACACAGAAACTAGATGAACGCCTTCACCCGGGCACTACAGTCCATCGCGGTACCCGGTTCATCCTCCCATCTATTGGCCTTACTGGCGCACCATGCCAATGTCTGGTTGGATCCCATATCGTCATATGGTACCATACTCGGCCAAGGCAGCTGACCAGGTTATCCTCCGAGTCTTCCTCCCTTCATGCACAGCCTCCACGCTGCCAATCCGGTTGGGCTCTGACGTGCGAGAATGCGCTTGACTACACCTTCCTAAACAACATGTGGTTAGACACGCCACATGTTCTCAGTACTTAGCATATGGGCCTTTACGCACCACTATGCCTCATACCCTCGGTTCTGCGGCAGAGCTTCCCTTGCCTCGGAAGAGTACCCACACGAACCTCGAAAGATCTGGCGGCTCAGCCGTCCGTGATCTTTCCACATCGGAGTCATACTCAACATATGGGCCTTACGCACCACCATGTTAGCATGCACTCGAGGTTTAGCGGCATAGCCATGCTATAACCCCACAACCGATGCATCTCTATGCACCTGCATAAACAAGATCTGACGGCATAACCTTCCCCGAAGGTTACCCATCACAATCTTACACACAAAAGAGATCTGCCAGCATAACCTTCCCCGAAGGTTACCTAACACAACCTCACAACACAAGAGATCTGACGGCATAACTTCTCTCTCTAGAAGATTACCCGTCACAACCTCACAGAGATTTCTGCAGCATAACTCTCCACAATTTTTACTAAACATTATTGTTTAGAGAGTTATACCACATACTTATGAAACGATAGAAGGAAATAAACTATAACCTAGCTACCGGAACTCACAGATTTTAGACGACCCGGCTGACCCCGTTCCTAGCCTACCCCGCTCTAGCCCGAACCCGATCCGCCTCTGGATCTTCTCTTCTTCTTCTCCACCTTGTTCTTCTTCTTCTTCTTCCTCTTCTTCTTCCTTCTTCTTTGGGCTCTCTCTTCTCTCTTCTCTTTCTCTCTCTCTTCTTTCTTGTTTTGGTGTGAGTTGAAATGAAGGCTGAAGGGGCCTTTATATAGGTTTTTGGGAAGCTCGAGGTGGCGTCTGAGGACTTCAGAACGTGACACCTCTCCTCTGCATGCAACCAATGGCGTTGAGGCACGCCTGCAGCTGCTTCTCCCATCCCCATCCACTTGGATCGAATGGCACCTTCCCATTGGTCCATTCTTCAAGCTGCTGGGTAGCTGAACGTGATTGGTCCATTGAAGATGAGCATCTCCTCCTTGATCCTATCTTCATGGAATGAGTGTCTCCTTCCTATTGGCTCCTTCCTCAAGCTGGTGAGTGTGTAGACATGATTGGTCCAACACATTTCTGTCTTTTTACGAATCGCTGAGTGCTCACACCTGATTGGTCCGTTGTGAAAGCTGCTGGGTATCTCCATTTGATTCTTCCATTTCTGGATAAGATAATCCAATCACAATGCTTATCCACGGCCTCACTCTCTCCCATTAGGTGGTGTTGACACACGATTGGTCCAACACAATTTCGTCCCATTCCAACAGCTCAATGTCACTGCGTGATTGGCTGAACGGTTTTGGCTCCATCTGAGTAGCTTGGTGTCTCCTCCTTACTGGTTTAGACCATCTTTATCCTCCTCAAGTAGCTGGTGTCACCACTTGATTGGCTTAGAACAAGATTGCTCCAAAAGTACGTTTCCTCGTCCAGAGGGTTTCGTACGTTTCCCTGTCCGGAGGGTTTCGTCCCCGTCATGTTTGAGAATTAAAATCTCCTATTTTAATCCTTCTCTCATTTCCATGTTTCTGAGCTTCCACATAGTTGCTTGGAAATGTGCGGAATACCTCCATCCCGAACATTTACGTTTCTTGCAGTCGTTGCGGGATAGATCTTGGGCGTTCGTCCCATCTCTCAATCTGCTCGTCCGATTTGCATTCTGCTTCGACCAAACTTCTTAGAATGGTTTCTTATGTCGTCCAAACTCTTCTCTTCTTGATTTGGAGAACTTTGATATTTCGTCGTCCTGTCGACTCTTCCCATGTTCGTACAATGATCGTCCCACCTGGACAATCTTGCTGTATCTTCACTTCTGCTCGTTCGTTCTTGATCATGTCTTGATCCAAGTCTTCGTTGTGATCTCTGTATTAGATCCCACGTCTTTGTCTTCCAATCCCAGAGTGTTGATCTTCCCATCCCGGCCTTTGGGATGTTTTAGGTCTTGATACGGGGTATCACACCACCACCTTCATGGGATAGTCCTCCAAGACCATCCTCTTTGAAGACCAAGAAGAAACTTCTTCCTCACCTTGAAGCAGCCGACCTGGAGACGTCTAGCCAAGCCGCATCATACCAAGAAGAGCACTTTCTAGCCACACGAGAAGAGGAGATTGACCTAGAGCTAATCAAGTTCGTGAAGAGAGATCAATTCCATGATCTGTTTTCAGAGTATGCACTGGAGCACATAGATCACTTTGACAATCTTTGTGATTCCTATAGAGTTTTTGACTTTGAGAAGAAGATGATGCTATTCAGCACATCACTAGCTGGACGAGCACTAGATTGGGCGCAGCATGAACCACCCTCTACAATCGAGTCATGGATCGATTTTAGAGATGCTTTCTTGGAGAGATTTGCAAAGAAGACACCTTTCAAATCCAAGTACCACCACTACTCTCATCAGCTGGAGAGAGAGCGTGACGAAGAAGAATGGGGAGGCATACCACCCCATCCTGAAGTTTTGAATGAAGAGTTAATCAAGCATGTGGAGAGGAATCCTTTCTACAATTCTATTTCAGAGTGTGCAAAGGAGCATCTATGCAACTTTGATGAAATTAACACAAATTGATGTAATTCACTAACTCAATTAACAACAACTCTAACAAACTGTTTTCTTTTGATTTTTCGGTTTTAATGAAACAAATAAAAGCAAACTATCAATTTATGAAAAATAAAATGAAGCAGAACAGAAACAAATCAAGTGAGAAACAGCAATGATGCAACAATTAACTAGATGAACTTTCTTAAATTTTTTTTTTGATTTATGTGAATGATGCAAGCAGAAACAGATTGAAGCAATATGAACTAGCAAACACAAGAAACTCTTTATGATTTTTGTTTTATCAAATGGAAATAGCAACAGAAACAAAGTACTAAGCAAAGAGAAGCAATTTTTATGGGTTTTCTTATATGATGCAAAAGGGAAAACGAAAAAGCAAAAACAAATAACAAGATAGAGGGATAGAAAACCAAAGGCAGAACCTTTGGCTCTGATACCCAGATGATGTAAGATTGGAATCCACCAAATCTTATTACACAAGGATTCAGGAGCAACAGGCGGAATGACTGATGGATGAAGGTAGAGATGAGGTGAAAGGATGCTGGATGATTCCACAAGCAGCACTTGAGCAAGACAACTTGATTCCGAAAGCAATCTGGTCAAGATGGATTGAAGGCACCACAGAGATTATGAGGGGGATCTCTGATACAGCAAGACACTTAGTCTTATGTGAATCTCACACAATAAGAACAGAGCAAAGGTTTCTCTCAAGACAGTGCTTAAACAAGAACAAAACTCAACTTTATTAAAATGTATATTCAAGGGTGATTTACTATGAAAACGAAACTGAGCTTATATAGGCTCTAGTACAACGGTCTAACGCTAAAATAAGTAAACAAATCGCAACAATGAAGGAGCAATAGAGCCGTTGGAGGCTTGATGACCAAATCGGACCAAATAAGGAAATTTTGAGGCTCCTTGTATCTTGATAGCTTGGGTGTGAAGGATTGGAACATTGGGACGTCTAGGTTCAGTGAATAAGCTTTCAAAACGCAGCAGCAAAGAAGAAAGAGCCGTTGGTGACTTATGGCTCTAAGTGTGAACGCATCTAGAAAAGAAAAGTTCACAAATATGAGAATCCGCCTGATTCTGTGGGTGCTGGTGCATGTGAAGATCATAGAGACACATCCTGAACGGTTGGATGGATCTTCTGGAAGCGTAGATATCTCTCCTGGTCGCTAAAGTCGGGTTTGTAAGTGATTAAACCCGTGAGCTTCCAAATAAGGCAAGTGGAGAATCATCTGGTTTGAAAGTTGAATAACTCTCAAACCGAACCGGCTATTGGTATGAATCCAATCTGAAAAGCTCCCAGATTGAGTCACGATTCTATAACAGGTTGGTTTATAGCTCAATTCCTTCTGGTCTTGATCGAAAACCACCAATTAGCACGCCGGAATCCAAATCGGGAAAGTTCCGGTTTACCCGATTTGTAAGATCGATAACTCTTGAACCAAATTGAATTTGGTCACGAATCCAATTTGACGACTTCCTCTGATGAGTTGAGAATCCATAACAGTTGGGTTTGTGGCTTTGATCCTCCTTTTTGGACCGTAATGATTCGATGAGTTGACCTATGTCTTCTGCGGATCCATTGAAGACCTTCCAGAATGTATCTTCAATATCTCCTTAATCTGGAATCCTTTTTGGTTGATTCTTCTTCGAGATGAACTCTGTATGAGTTTAGTATGTTCTCCAAGTGATGTTTCAGCTTGGATGTTTGATGTCGGCCTCTAGTTGAGCTAGACATAGCTTGCTTGTCTCCTTAGCTCTCCTCAGGTTCATGCTCTCCTCCTCTGGGCTCTGGATTCTGTGCTCCTCAGCTGATGATGACTTGATGTCCTCACCATACTCTCTGATGTAAGACTCGGTGGTGAGGCTTAGATCTGATGGAACGTGATGGACTGATGGGATCTGAAGGCTGGCTTTAACACTGTCTCCTTTAGATCTGTGGATGAGGATGGTAAGACAATGCTTGATTCCACAAGACTTGATAAGACAATGCTTGCGGTGCTCAACAAGCTGGCTATCACGCTCTCTCTTGTATGAACGAAAAGGGGATGTCGAAGGTGGATCGATGGCACCACATAGATGATGGAAGGATCTCTGATACAGCAAACTCGTCCTTGGTGAATCACACACACAAGAGAACAAGCTAGAGTTCTAAGCAAGCGGCGGCTTGAGCAAAGAAGAAATACGGTATTTTATTAATAATCAAAGGTAACCAAAAATACAAAGCTGCAGGGGAGCTTTATAAACAGCTCTTCAGCTAGCCCTAGGGCCGAAATTCAAATAAGGAAAGAAAGCACATCACGCTCTCTTGAACAGAAACAAAAAGCAAAAATAAATAAAAATACAAGAAAAGGAAATAACACTTAAACTAAACCAAACTCGTGTGGCTTCTTCTGGGCTCGAACTGGAGTTGTCTCTGAGCCTAAGAACCACTGGGATACTCGCCCTTACCTGCACAAATTGTATAAATTGAATATACCTGCTTTTGGCGCGAGTTGAGCTGAGGTGGTGTTGAGTAGAGCTTGTCTGGTCCGGGTCCACTCCTTGCTGGTCCAATGATGAAGTCTTCCTCTTCAGTGCCTTGAGAGTTGACTTGGTGAAGATCTTCAAGTGTTTCTTCTTCAGTAGCTCCCAAAACGTCTTCATGTTCCTTAAGCTCCTTGTCTGCTACATTTTGGGTCTTGATCATGTCCTCAAGCTCCGACTTGTTCTGAACTCCATTACCTGCCAAGTAAATAGACTTACAGTGCCTTGAATGAGTGTGATCCTCCTCTAGGCTCATGCTTGCAAAGTCCTCCATTAAGGCTAGTTCCAGGGCAATGGTGTTGCTCAAGGGGTTAACGTCGTTCCTCAAGCAGCTGTTGTCAGGCGGCGGGGTATTGAGAAAATCTCCAAGGAACATGGTGTTGAGGAGGGTCTCAACAGCTTCATTGAATCGTTCTCGAAGTCTCCTGGTCTTGGAACGCGTCATGGGTGAGTCCTTGACCACCAGTATGTTCTCTATGACCTTAGTTGGGTCAATGTCCTCATCATTCCCTCCCTCTTCAAGAGGTTTTGACCTCAAAACAGGTTCATCTGCATCTTCATAAGGAGATAGATCAGTAACATTAAAACTATGTGACACATTGATGATAGGATTTGTGTGTGGATGTGAAAGATATGAATGAAATGTGGTGGAATGCAACAGTGGTATATAAGATGAGGTGGTAAGATGCAAACACAATCACAATCAACAATTCCCTTAACCATCATAGTCATTATAGTATAAGGGTTATCAATCCAAAATGGGAAATTGTCACTCTATGAGAATATGAAACAACCAGGAAGTCAAGCAAGCAGTAATGATAAGATGGTAACACTAACAACCTAAATGAAACAGAAATGCAATGCAATAAAAGTAAATAAAGCAGTAGAGCAACAGCTCGACCAAGGACTCGAGTCGAGTGGAACAGAGTACCAGCTCGATCGAGTTTAGGGTCGAGTTGAAGTAAAAAGCTAAAGGCAGCGACTTTAACAAGCTAAGAGAGAATTAGGGTTCAAGACAGGGTTTTGCAATCAGGGAATCTACACTTAATCAATCTGCTCTTAAAACTCCTTGTATCAAGGCTTCTCTTGATATTGGGCTTCTCAATGCCTAGCCAACCCTTTCCCAAGGTGAAAGCTATCAACCAAGGAATGATCTCAGAAACAGGGGGTTAGCCAGTGAGAATCAAACCTTGGAGGCCATAGGATCATTGCCCAAACTAATCCATCCAACCCCTTAGACCTCTATTTCTAGAGCAAGAGATATTGGAGCTCTTAGTGGATCTTTTCCAGCGATTTCCATCACTTCCATGTGGAGAATCGCCTAAGGACATACAAGCCAGGGGTAGTGGTCATGTAGCCTTAAGATTATCCAAAAGAGAGAGAATCTAGATTAAGACCATAAGCAAGAAGGATTAAGCATATGAAACCTCTAATCTATCCCATCTCAAACCCTAATGGGTAACTACTCACTACACATGAATGTAAACACAAGCAAATGCAATAAAAGAGACATCATAAGAAAGAGGAGATGAAATAAACAACTTTTATTGAAATAAGCAAGTGCAAATACAAAAGATTATCCAGGATCTAGGATTCAAGAAGCAAGAGCTTCAAGAACACAAAGATGGATTAGGTTCTAAAAAGTAAAAGACAATAAATTAAAAGAAACTAAAACAAAATAATCTAAAGCTTGGTGGTTTTTTCGTGGCTTTTAGCCTTTAAATACAAGAGGATTAGGTTTAGGGTCAAAGGAAGTCAAGGGGGAAGCAACATTTTTCGGGTTTGACTTTGACTTCTCAGCTCGATCGAGTTGAAGCTTGGCCGGTCGAGTTGAGGAACTCGACCGGTTGGTCGAGCTGGTCTTCAAGATGGCTTCTCCCTTCTTCCTTTGCGTATCCAGTTGAGCTGCGTCCATGCCCAAGTCCCTCCATGCTCCTCACGTCCCATATGCTCCAGAATGCTCCAAAAGACCTATTTCAAAGGACCAAACATGCATATGTATGCAAATGCAACCTAAAACTACATGAATGCATAAGAAGAGAAAAGGAACAAGATATGATGCTAAATGGATGCTAAAACTATGCAAAAGATGCATAAAAGATGTACTAAAACTATGTAAAATGCAAGTACATCAACACCCCCAAACTTGAACTTTGCTTGCCCTCAAGCAAACAAATAGAACAAGAAAGAGATGAGGTTTGAAAACAATGATTCAACACTTAAAAACATGTCCTCAAAAGCGATTTGCTAAATGTCCAACTTAGAGATTCTAGAATGCAACAAGGTGAGAGATATTCATTAAGATTTAACCATGCTTATCAACATCAATCCCACTTCACAGTCACTCAAACAATGCATTCAAATCAGCAAATCCCTTTAACATTCATTAAGCAAAAACAGTGAACCAAAAACATGCAAGATCAATCAACTCATTTGGTTTCAAGGGTTTATGGGTTAAGAGACAAAGAGGGTCTCTTTTGTATGGTGGTTTAGTAACAGGGATCTCTCAAGAAAGTGGCTTTGCTTTGGCAGAAGGCTAAGTGTTAGAACCAAAGATGATGCAAGAACAGCAGCTCGAGCCGCCTAATCCTAACTCGATCGAGTTCAACACTTAGAGCTTTTTAGAACAAAATCCTAACTACCCTTTTTGGCATTTCGCCTTTGAAACTGAGGAGCTTTGCTCACTTTTCTTTTAAGAACTTCCTAGGGAGAGGCTTCTTGAGGTAACATCTAGCGGTTTGGGATTTTCTAAACACTTAGGGAACTTTTCTTTCTTTTTGACACTTGAGGCTTTGCCTTCTTTTCATTCTACTTAGAACCCTTTTTACTTCCTTTTTTAACTTCCCAAACCTTTACTAGACCCTTTTTAACACTGCCAACTCCCTGGACTTAACTAAACTCTTTTTCCTTTGGATTTTCCCAACTTTTACCACTTTTCTGGTTTTTACACCCAACTCGATCGAGCTCGAGTTGGCACCCCCAAACTTAGCCTGAAAACAATCCCAAGAGAACTAGACAACTAGAACTACTGCCCCTGCCGGTTTAAACACAACACCTTATGCTAAGCAAAGCCAAGAAAGGTTCTCACAATCGCACAAGAGATAATATGGGGTTTGAAATGAAAAAGGCTTAGGTTTAAGGTGTGGTAACTGTCTCAAAGATGGAGATCAGCTATCTGGACAAGCAAGAGGGATATGAAAATAGGTAAAGAATGTCCAGATATGTATGTGGTAGCCATGAGTTGAAATCAAATGCAAGCATTGGTAATTAAAGATCAAGTTATGGTTCAAATAGATAGGGAAATGCATCAAATCACAGCAATGGTTGAATGAGATGTGCATGCAGTGATATGATCAAGATAAACATGGTTCTTGCTGCTCAATCAATCTCACCCTAATGCACAAAAGAATCTAAAAACAGGGCACTCAAGAAATCGCAAAAGATGAACAAGTTTTCAAAGTCAAATCAACAATGCAAGTGAAAATGCAATCCTAAACAAGTCTAACAAATATGAATGCAAAAAGATGAAAATATTTTTGGATTTTTTGAAAATTTTATGATTTTTTTGGTTTTTCTATGCAAAAGATAAATGAAAAACTAAGAACAAAGAAAACAAGGTTAAATCATCTCTTGAACCCTCCCCCAAACTTAAATCACACAGTCCCTTGTGTGAGAAAATTTAGTGAAAGATTCAAGAGGGCAAAACCAAGAAAAAAAAACAAATGCAAGAAAATATGAAATGGTATATACAAGGGTTGGTGTTTGGATACCTCAGTGCCCCCCAAAGAACTGGGAGGCAAGGTCGTGGTCTGGAGAGGGAGACGGCCATCAGGAGCACTCCACTCGACTGTTGGCAGCTCGATCGAGCTTGCTCTTGGCTCGATCGAGTTGTGCCTCGAGTTGGTTGCCTCTCCTTCCTAAAACCTGTTCCTGCAAGACTTAGCTGAGAAAAACGCAGGATATGTACAAGATAGACATGGGAATTCCTCCCAAGTGAGCTTGTTTTAGGTCTCATAGCTTGACCTTACCTTTTAGGCCGGGGTTGGATCTTGAGAGGAGTGATGATCTCCTCTGTGGGGGTCATTCCTAGATAGGCTTGCATCTATGCCCATTCACTGTGAATTCCTTTCCCCTCTTGATTGAGCAGAGTGAGGATCCGTAGGGTAGAACTTCGTGATCTTGAATGGTCCCGACCACTTTGACCTCAGCTTCCCGGGAAACAACCTTAGCTTGGAGTTAACAAGAGCACACTGTCCCCAACCTTGAAGTCCTTAAGGCGAATCAGTTTGTCGTGGGCTGCCTTGGTTCTCATCTTGTAGATCAGGAGTTCTCATAGGCATTCATTCTGATTTCCTCCAACTCAAACAAGTTCATTACCTCCTTTCTTGTGCTGCCTTTATGTCAAAGTTCAGCATCTTTACTGCCCATAAAGCCTTGTATATTCGACCTCCACAGGTAAGTGGCAATCCTTTCCATATAGCAAATTGAAAGGAGACCTTCCAATGGGGGTTTTGTAAGCTGTCTATAAGCCCAAAGTGCTCATCAAGCCTTGCTGACCAATCCTTTCCTAGTGAAGCTCACAGTCTTCTCCAATATGGCCTTATCTGTCTGTTGGAGACTTCAACTTGCCCACTGGTTTGAGGGTGATAGGGCGTGGCACCTTGTGCTTGACTCCATAACTCTTCATCAACTTCTCAAACACCTTGTTGATGAAATGGGAACCTCCATCCGAAATAACAACCCTTGGGATGCCGTATCTTGGAAAGATGATGGTTCTGAACAGTTTGATAACAACCTTGGCATCACAGGCTGGGCAGGGAATGGCTTCAATCCATTTGGACACATAGTCCACAGCAACCAAAATGTAGTTGTGCCCGTTTGAGGAAGGTTTGAAAGGTCCCATGAAGTCTATTCCCCATACATCAAAGATCTCAACTTCTAGAATTGGGTTTAGTGGCATTTCATCCCTCTTGGTGATCCTCCTTTCCTTTGGCATGGATCACACTTGGCAATGTAACTTGCTGCATCTTGAACAAGTAGGCCACCATAAACCAGATTGCAAAACCTTAGTTGCGGTTTTGAATGTGCAAAGTGACCTCCATAAGCAGACCCATGGCATTGCTCAAGAACTCCTTGTACATCTTCTTCAGCTATGCATCTCCTGTAAATGCTATCTGGTCCTCTCTTGTACAAGTAAGGCTCATCCCAATAGTAGTGCCTAGCATCCTTGAAGAACTTCTTCCTCTTGTAAGCATCAAAACTACTAGGGACTTCTCCAGACACCATGAAGTTCACTATATCAGCATACCATGGCAAGTTTCATCACGCAAAGCCTTGACTTCTTCCAGCCTGACTTCTCATCAAAACTTTTTTCAAGATCATGATTGCCATAAGCTGTTCTTCAGGCATAGAATCATTGATGGGGATATGTCGTCAACTCGCATCCTAGAGAGATGATCAGCAACTCCATTCTCTACTCCCTTTTTGTCTACAACTTCTATGTCAAACTCTTGAAGCAAAAGGATCCATCTGAGAAGTTGATATACCTCTATTTTACATGCTTTTTATGCTATTTTACTATGGTTTTCTAATGGTTTTCTAGTGGATTCTTGTGTTAAAAGGTATTTTTTATGGATTTATATTGCAAAGAGTCATTCTAGGTAAAAAGGTGCATTCTGGAGCAAAACAGAGATTTTGGACTTCAAACCAGTTCAATGCCACTGCATCAACTTTGGATGGAGCTAGAAACAGATCTACTTAATGGATTTCATCAAGACCAGTTCCCTGCATGCTCTGATTGAGTTAAATTTCCAACGCAACTGGAACGGCCTCATTTGGATGAGTAGAAAAGGAGTTATAGCCAAAAGAGTGAAGACTGTCCAACACCGCTCTATCGAGAATCAGCGCCCAGACCGCGCAGAACGGCTGGCCGAGGAACGCATGTTCCGCTCTCGGCCAAATTTGCTTCCGTCCGTCTGAAGTCTCGGCCAAAGTCCAAAACCGAACGGCCGATCACGCATCACGACCCGGGAAACTAAAGCCCGCGGTCGGCCATGCCACAACCGCCCACGCCAAGCCGCGCACGACCACGCCACGTGAACCGAAGAGTAAAGCCTCGCGGCCGCGCAAACATTCTCGCGTACCATGGCCAATGTATCCGTCCGAGCCGGGAAAAAACGTCCCACGTCCGGCCGAGAAACCATCAACCAAATCTTCATCCGTCCGACCACACCGGCCGACCATGAAATCATCCGGCCACGTCCGTTCCGACACGGCCACAACCCGACTGTACGGCCGATCGTCCCGACTGATAGACCCCTTGTTGAGGATCGGCACTTTGAAGCAAGTAGAGGTTGAATGATGATGATGGAATGAAAGGAACCAGAGAACTTGGCGGAATGGATTGAGATGATGAAGTGAGGAATGGATCGATGAAAGGGATAGATGGGAATGGATTGAATGGCTATACCAGAGATCCAATGGAAAGGAATCTCCAACACCACCTCTAAGATAGTTGATACAACTCACAACTATACTAAAGGGATTTCTCGGATTTAACACACCAAGAGAAAGGGTTCTTAGAATCACACTAAGAGATCTTTGAGTAAACAAAGGAAATAGGTTTTTCATTCAAGGTTGCATAAACTCTAAGGGAAATTTCGTCCAGTACAAATAAGGGAGAGAGGAAGAGAGAGAGAGAGAGAACTGATTGGAACAAGCTCCAATCAGTCTTGAAAATGAAGCAAAACATAAATGAAAGTTTGAAACAAGAAAAAGGACTCTTCAGTTGCCAGCGGCAAAGTTCAAAATGAAGAGTGATGGGCCGGACCCAAACAACATGAAATAAAGAAGTGATGGGAAGTGGACTTTAGGCCTCGTTAAAAACCTGCCAAGTAAAACCCAAAGGGACAAAACCTTGGCAGGGAAAAAGAGCACACTAAAATCCACTTGCTTCTTTATCCCAAGTGTTGGGCTCTCAAACAAACCAAAGTGGAATGTTTAAGCTCCTGATCATGCCGACTCAAACGGCTAAGTACTCTTCCAATGTCTTGGTTGAGCATCTTAGTCTGGGACCTTGTGATGGGACCAGTTGGTAAGGCCAAGGCTTCCAAAGCTTCCTCAGGTTCAAGCTGCTCCTCCTCTGCTACAAGCTCTCCAGCTGCTTCCTGGTCCAAGTTCCCAGCAACCTCCTCCATGATCATATCACCGACCGACCGTCCGAACGCCGCGGTCGACCCGAAGCCGTTTTTGAAGCCCAATCCGCACAATTCAAGCCCAAAGCCGGCGCCGACCTAGCTAGATTAGGTCTAGCCGCTTTTTCATACTTAGTGCATTATAAATACTTCTTTTTAGCCTTGTAACTCAAGAAGGAGAGAGACCACAATATACTTTACATCTTTAATAAAGTTTTGCTTGCTTTTACTTTGTTCTTGCTTGTTACTCTTTCTAGAGAGGATTCGAATCTCTGTTCTTATGAATATGAATTCGTGTTCCTTCTCTATGTCTGAGTAGTTTACTTGTTAAGTGATAGGAAGTCAAAGGATAGCATTCATGTATGCTTGATGATTGATCACAATTAGGGTTTTACTTATAATCTCCATCTTTGCTTATACTTAATGCTTGTTGTTAATCTGGCCAATTAGCATATGCCTTTAGGTTGATTTGAGCCTCGACAGTGCTGTATCATTCGCCTGAACTAGTATTTGGTGGGCAATCTCTTTTAGACTGCGAAAGTTGATCTACTTGTAGGTTGTGAACAATTGAACTTATCGAACTAATGCTTGATTTAATCACCTAGGGACATACCAAAAGTTTAGCGACTAGGTAGATTAACAAAGGGGTCGGAGCCTCGACAGTGGAATGATCATACCATAGTGTTTCAAGTTCTAGATTAGCACCTAAGTGCGGTAACCCTAATTGATTGATTTCATGCTTCTTGAATTGCTTATCTCAAGACTATCCTATTGCTTAGCCTTTCTCTCCTATTGAATCTCACTTTCTTTATTACTTGCATGCTTTACTTTCTCTGCACTCAACCAACTTATACTTTTGCCCTAGCTCGATCTCAACTCATAGCTTGTAGTGTGCAATCTGGTCCTCGTGTTCGATACCCGTTTACTACTTCTGACCTGTGCACTTGCAGAATCAGGGATAGGAAAGGGGAAGACCTGATCCCGCGATCAGAAGTCTTGGCTTTGTATCTTTCTTATCAAAGATTTGCCTAAGGGCAGCATGGTCAATGTGCACAATCACTTTAGACCCAACTATATAGCTTTGAAACTTCTCAAAGGCAAAGACGATGGCGAGGAGCTCCTTCTCCGTAGTCGCATACTTGCATTGAGCATCATCCATAGTCTTGCTTGCATAGTAGATGACATTGAGTTTCTTGTCTATATTTTGGCCAAGCACTGCCTGTAACACCCCCGGCTCGATCTAAACACATAGACAAAGCCGGTGAGCGTCACAATTTGCCGAGGTTTGCTGGATAGGCCGTCCCGGGCAAAGAACACATCACAGCCCAGGTCAGCCCATCCCGCGTGCTCGACCCTCTCGGCCATGGCCTAAGGCTTTTCAACCCGTTCCGAAGCCGAGAGTTGTGTTAGCCCGGACAAAGCTAATATCAGATCAAACCAGTTGATATAGAAAATAAACTTTATTAATCTATATAAGGTTTCACAAAACATCGGAAATACATCACATTCGAGCCTAATGCCCAAAACCCACACTACATAAATTCAAAAGCGTTTATTTTACAAAGGCAAGACAAACTACGCTGGCGGCCTAACGTCCTTGCTCCAACTACTGGTTTCCTGCAAAAGAGAGTGGGGGGGTGAGCGCTAATCGCTCAGTGAGTTGTAGCTCCCACTAACAAGCAATAATAATCCCAACCCAAAAACCCAAAATAACACACAACAAGCAATGTTGCTATAACCCCTAGACTGACCGCACAACAATCAAACAAGAACATGCACGATCAATCAGAGATTATAAACAACAACAATCAATTAATGCAATAAATAAACTTAACATCACACTCAACCACTTTCTCTTTTGCGCGTTCGGTACTTCCCGTGAACACCTATCTCACAGCCACACAGGCACGCGAGATAGAACATCACTACCCGAGTTCCATCTCCCAGACAGTCACATCCCGTTGGATCGCCGTTTCCACGGTTCACAACCCAACGAGTTCTGTCTCCCAGATGGTCACGTCATTCCATACTCGGCCATAGGCAGCAACCCCGTCTCTCCGAGTATTCTCATTAGTCAATACATTGACTACATGAGGTGGAATAGTACTCGGCCATAGGCTGCTATCCCGTCTCTCCGAGTCTTCCCACCTAGCCAGTCCATTTGCTAGGAAGGGGTACCAAAGAAGACCGAACCGCCAACATCAACATCAAACAAGTAACCATGTAACCTCACATGCAATATGATAATAATATACAAGATCTAACAAACAAGCAAGCATCATAACAAAGAACTACACAATCAAAGCAATCAATCAAACAATCAAGCAATCAATCAATCAATCACAATCAATCACGTCAATCTAGCATTCCCTAGCAAGCAATCAAACATCACCACAACTCACAGTGCTTTCGGCTGAACGGTTTCTAGCCTAGGTTTACTACTCTGGGTTTACCGCTGAACCGCCGGCTTGCCCTAAGCTTCTGCCTGAACGCTCCCTCTCTTCTTCTTCTTCTTCTTCTTCTTTCTTCTTCTTCTCCTCCTCCTCCTCCTTCTTCTTCTTCTGGGCGTCCTCCCTCTCACTCTATTTCTCTCTCTATTTCTCTCTCTTTCTTTCTGATTTTGGTGTGGTTTGGAAATGAGGCCAAGGGGTCCTATTTATAGGCTTGGAGGGAAGCAGGTGGTGATCTCCTTGCTTCAGGAATGGCACCTCTCCCTTGTGTGGAACCAATGGCGTGAAGACACCCTCCAGCAGCTTGGACCAATCATATCCTTCCATGACAATGGCACCTTCCATTGGTCCATTTTCTAAGCTGCTGGGTAGCAGAACCTGATTGGTCCATTCAAGATGATCATCACTTCCTTGATCCTATCTTCCTGGAATGAGTGGCTTTATCCCATTGGTCCTTCTCAAGCTGCTGGGTGCTTAGACATGATTCGTCCAACACATTTTCGTCCATTATGAGCAGCTGAGTGCTCACACTTGATTGGTCCAGCACAATTTCGTCCTATGTAGCTGCTGGTGTCGCCTCCTTACTGGTTTAGACCATTCTTATCATCTCCAAGTAGCTGGTGTCGTCATCCCATTGCTCCATCCGCCTCTTTCCTTTCGAGGAGGGTTTCGTACGTTTCCTCTTCCGGAGGGTTTCGTCCCCGTCGTGCTTGAGAATTAAAATTTCCTATTTTAATCCTTTCGTCAGTTCCATGCTTTTGAGCTTTCACTTAGCTGCTCGGAAATGTCCGGAAATTCCTTATCCCGGTCATACCGTTCTTGAAACAGCTTTATCTTTTCTTCGCTTCAGAGTTGATCATCCCATCCGGACCATTGGGACTGGGATCGTGCGGCAAAAATTCGCTCTGATGCGGGATATTACATTCTCCCCCTCTTAAAAGAATTCGTCCCCGAATTCTAACCATGAAGCAACTCTCTCTTCTCCATACGGGTATCCACTACGGTTTCCTAAACTCTATTGGTTTATGGGAAGGATCCTAGGTTTGTTTCCATGGGTAAGGCTTCTAAGGATTTCCTAACCGAATATATCAATCACTCAAACACACAAACAAGCACTCAATCAATCACCCAATAAGAGAGTTAGAACCCATACTTACCTGACCGGAGACCTTAAACGGGTCTTGAAGGTTTAGCTAAATCTATACCTAAGGAAAAGCATCTCTCCGACATCTGTATCAACCATCAAGGGTGAGTCCTAACCTGTCTTACTAATATGCAAGAACGTACCAGCTTCCTAATTGCCTTTGCGACTCATTTTGACTCGAGAAAATGCTTTGAAAACTGAGTCCCATGAAGCATGATCATGAACCATGCTCTGATACCACCATTTGTAACACCCCCGACTCGATCTAAACACATAGACAAAGCCGGTGAGCGTCACAATTTGCCGAGGTTTGCTGGATAGGCCGTCCCGGACGAAGAACACATCACAGTCCAGGTCAGCCCGTCCCGCGAGCTCGACCCTCTTGGCCACGGCCTAAGGCTTTTCAACCCGTACCAAAGCCGAGAGTTGTGTTAGCCCGGACAAAGCTAATATCAGATGAAACCAGTTGATATAGAAAATAAACTTTATTAATCTATATAAGGTTTCACAAAACATCGGAAATACATCACATTCGAGCCTAATGCCCAAAACCCACACTACATAAATTCAAAAGCGTTTATTTTACAAAGGCAAGACAAACTACGCTGGCGGCCTAACGTCCTTGCTCCAACTACTGGTTTCCTGCAAAAGAGAGTGGGGGGGTGAGCGCTAATCGCTCAGTGAGTTGTAGCTCCCACTAACAAGCAATAATAATCCCAACCCAAAAACCCAAAATAACACACAACAAGCAATGTTGCTATAACCCCTAGACTGACCGCACAACAATCAAACAAGAACATGCACGATCAATCAGAGATTATAAACAACAACAATCAATCAATGCTCAAACATGCAATAAATAAACTTAACATCACACTCAACCACTTTCTCTTTTGCGCGTTCGGTACTTCCCGTGAACACCTATCTCACAGCCACACAGGCACGCGAGATAGAACATCACTACCCGAGTTCCATCTCCCAGACAGTCACATCCCGTTGGATCGCCGTTTCCACGGTTCACAACCCAACGAGTTCTGTCTCCCAGATGGTCACGTCCCGGGCTGTCTATTCCATACTCGGCCATAGGCAGCAACCCCGTCTCTCCGAGTATTCTCATTAGTCAATCATTGACTACATGAGGTGGAATAGTACTCGGCCATAGGCTGCTATCCCGTCTCTCCGAGTCTTCCCACCTAGCCAGTCCATTTGCTAGGAAGGGGTACCAAAGAAGACCGAACCGCCAACATCAACATCAAACAAGTAACCATGTAACCTCACATGCAATATGATAACAATAAACAAGATCTAACAAACAAGCAAGCATCATAACAAAGAACCACACAATCAAAGCAATCAATCAAACAATCAAAGCAATCAATCAATCAATCAATCTAGCATTCCCTAGCAAGCAATCAAACATCACCACAACTCAGCATTCCCTAGCAAGCAATCAAACATCACCACAACTCACAGTGCTTTCGGCTGAACGGTTTCTAGCCTAGGTTTACTACTCCGGGTTTACCGCTGAACCGCCGGCTTGCCCTAAGCTTCTGCCCGAACGCTCCCTCTCTTCTTCTTCTTCTTCTTCTTCTTTCTTCTTCTTCTCCTCCTCCTCCTCTTTCTTCTTCTTCTGAGCGTCCTCCCTCTCACTCTATTTCTCTCTCTAGTTTCTCTCTCTTTCTTTCTGATTTTGATGTGGTTTGGAAATGAGGCCAAGTGGTCCTATTTATAGGCTGGGAAGTGAAGCAGGTGAGTGATCTCCTCCACCAGAATGGCGCCACCTTTTCCCTTGTGTGGACCAATGGTGTTGAGGCACGCCTACAGCAGCTTCATCCATCATTATCCACTCAGCTTGAATGGCACCTTTCCATTGGTCCATTTTCCAAGCTGATGGGTAGCTGAACCTGATTGGTCCATTCAAGATGATCATCACTTCCTTGATCCTATCTTCCTGGAATGAGTGGCTTCATCCCATTGGTTCCTTCCTCAAGCTGTTGGGTGCTTAGACATGATTCGTCCAACACATTTTCGTCCATTATGAGCAGCTGAGTGCTCACACTTGATTGGTCCAGCACAATTTCGTCCCATGTAGCTGCTGGTGTCGCCTCCTCACTGGTTGAAATCATTCTTATCATCTCCAAGTAGCTGGTGTCGTCATCCCATTGCCCCATCCGCCTCTTTCCTTTCGAGGAGGGTTTCGTACGTTTCCTCTTCCGGAGGATTTCGTCCCCGTCATGCTTGATAATTAAAATTTCCTATTTTAATCCTTTCGTCAGTTCCATGCTTTTGAGCATTCACTTAGCTTGCTCGGAAATGTCCGGAAATTCCTTATCCCGGTCACACCGTTCTTGAAACAGCTTTATCTTTTCTTCGTCTTCAGAGTTGATCATCCAATCCGGACCATTGGGACTGGGATTGTGCGGCAAAAATTCCGCTCTGATGCGGGATATTACACTGCCCCTACTGCATAGTCAGATGCATCACACATAATCTCAAATGGGTAATCCCAGTTTGGAGATTGAACTATTGGGGCGGATACGAGAGCATTGATGTTGAGTCAGGTTTTACTAAACTCTTAGACCTCTGCAAGTTGATGGCGGGTTTAGATTGCCTCAAATTTTCACAATTTATAAACCCAACTAATGAGCTGCAAGTGCACAGCCGTGTTGTAGTCGGGGTCGAACACGAGGAGGAAGTGTTCTCACTTAACACCTTGTGAGATTGGTCTTAAGCTAGCTCGCAATATGAGATGGTTTTGGACCTAAGAATAAGAAAACAAAACAAAAGAGATGTGAGTGAGGTTGTAAGCAATTTAAAACAAGAGTTAGGCAAAGGACAATCATATGGAGCAATGATGAAAAGATAGTTGCATGGGATGTGTGTAGAGCCGTCTTGAACATGAATCACTAGTGTATGGTCTTTCCACTGTCGTGGCTCCAACCACTATGTTTAAAACAACCTAATATACTCAGCTTTCGTTGGCTATTAGAATTGCAAACATGCATTAAAGATGATCAAGATTCAATTGTTCACAATAAACCATAACTCAGCTTTCGTTGGCTATGATCTATTGCTCACCAAATACTAGTTTTGAGATCTAGATTCAGCACTGTCGTGGTTCTATTTCTCTAAGATCAGATTACTAGATGTACGGTAGAGTAATCATGCATTAAGCTCAAGTAAAGGTGAAGATCCATAAGATAAATCCCAATTAAGTTGCAACACAATCAAATCATCACGGCCACCATAGATCTCCTCGGCCTAACTAAGAGATCTACTCGGCCATGATGCAAACAAGCAAGCAAAGCATGATTGTAAACATTATGCAAGTATTAAAAGAGATAAAGGGATGAAGAAAGCTTCTCTATTGATGAACAAAGTCGGATTCTCCCTTGAAAACTCTTAAAATCAAGTTTATAGAAATGGAAACAATGAAAAAGAAAGAACAAGAGTTGAGCGGCGCCTCCTTCTTCTTGGACGATCTCCTAGGGCTTCTCTTCTCTTCTCTCTCTTCTCACACGTGAACTCTTTGATAATTTTCGGGCTGGACTCTCGACTCTCTTCTCAGCGGCTAAAAACATGTATATATGGGCGAAGTCGCGTAGGGTTTTCTTCATGCAGAAAAGGAAAGTTTCTCATGCGGCGAGCCTTCTTCTCCACGTCGTGTATGGGCCGACATTGTACCAAGGAAAGCTCCAAACATTAGCCAGGCCTCTTCTTTATCGATCAAGGCCTTTGGCGCTGCTGCTCGGGCCATTAGACACTCCAAATCCTCCATGGGCTTCTTTGCTCTTACCGGACATGTCTCGGTAGAAAATAAGTCTAGACAGCATTGGCAAGTTTTGAATTAAGAACAAAGTACATACCATGAGTTTTGCGATTTTCCCAAAGCGGTCCACCTCTCCTTGGACAATCCAATTCGCCACCCTTGACTCCTTTCATTTCTAAAGGTGTGGTCTCAACTAGGGAGTATCGATCAGCCGGCTTTTAGATTCTTTCTCATCCCCTTGTTTGGCACTTGTCTTTTACTCCATGTTTCTCCTCTCTCTCTTCTCACTTCTTTGAGTTGATTCATCCCTTTTTTAGGGTAGCGAAGTATTTTTTTATTCAACTCCTTCTCTTTATTATAGAGGTTTTGCTTGGATCTTCCACAGACGCGAGTATTGATGGTGTTTGCCACCGAATCCCCGGTTGCTTGGATTCATAGGCCTTCCATAGACGCGAGTATTGATGGTGTTTGCCACCGAATCCCCGGTTACTTGGACCTTACGCTTTTTCTTTAAATTTGAAGGGGAGAGAGAGGGAAGCACGAACTCACTAAGACTTTTTCATTTGATGGAGAGGATGAGGAATCATGCCATTTGTATGCCAAGCCCCTAGCTGAGAAGATTAAGTTCATTAAGGGCGGAGTCAAAGATGGATCCTTCTCAAGTCTTTAGAGATGTAGGCGTTTTTGGTAGATCGATCAACTCATAGTGCACCTGTGGTAAGATGTATTGCCAAGAACTGCTCAATGGTCACTTAAACATTAGTACAACCATGGTTAGATCCAAGATAAGGTCATGATTCTCGACAAAAATTTTGACTCAATAAAAACGACTCGATAAAAGGGAAAAATGCAAATGAAAATGCCAAAATGAACAAACATTGTTAGTAATCCCCCCAGACTTAACTTGCACCGTCCCGGTGAAATCAAATCGGATTAAGAGAGGCATAACATGAAGTTCAAATGAAAAATTGAAAAGAAAAAGGTTTAGGATGATGTTACCAAATGTCGACCAATTTATAATGAAGATCAGTTCTGGTTTGGGTCATTCTACACTTCTTTAGGCAATATTGGTCGGTGAGTTTTTAATTTCAGGCCTTGGTTTCCGCCGGTTTGTGTTTTGGCCGAGATTGGTATATTCGGTCGGCCAAAATGTGGTGCTGTGAACTACAGAACAAACCGTCAAAAATTTCATGACCTATATTGAAATTTCATCGACCAACCTGGTATTTTATAGCCTCTGGTGAAGTTTGGGAGCATTTGTACGAGCGGATTGAGACTTCCTTCACAAAATGGTCAAGTCGGCTCCGGGAAGGAGTTTCCTTGGCCATGTGAAGTTTGGCTCGTTCCTTTTCGTTTCTTCCTGCATAAAAGTGTTAGTTAAGCTCAAAGAAGAGTTTTCCAACCGGTTGGCGCGCCTATGCCGTGATTTGGTTTTGTCGGCCATATTGCTTGCGCGCCATCGGCCAGAATGAGCTCCGTCGTCTATCTCATGATCCGTGATGATTTCTCCGTCCTATCTTTTGGATTTGCCGACCAAAATGTGATTTTATGGTCGCCTGTGAAGTTTGGTGGACTTTGGTCACGCCGTTTAGGAGTTGGCCGTAATTGGTCTCCTTGTGCGCGGTATGGCCGAGAGAAATGTCCGGATTGAATTTCTTCAAATCCACTCGGGCCAATTGAGATTTTCTTCGACCGAATTGTTTTAATAACCCTCCTGTGTCATTCCCAAGTGGTGGCCGCCTTGTTTCGTGTGATGGCCTATGTATCTCCTTTTAACCTCCCTTTGGCCGCCATATGCATGTTGGTTTTGAGGTGGTTATAGGTTTGCTCTATTTCTCCTTCCTGTCAAATGGTTAACTCCTTGCAAAACACTTGAAATCATGATTAGATGGTTTCTCAGATTGTGATCCTCAAGTGACCAACTTGAAGTTCACAATCCAAGAGATTAAAGCACAAACTATAAATTCTTATTTGGTCTTGGTCAATGATCCAAATTTCAAACTATAGTTCAATCTCTTGTAATTTCAGTGAGAAATGAGTTTTGACAAGTGATTATGTATTCTTTCCAATCATCAAATGTAAATCAAGTTAAACCATGAAATATATTTGTAAAGTGCAATGGTTTAAACGATTTTTCAAGTGAAGATCAAGAGTGATTAGAAATGAATACTAGGTGAGAGTTTACTTACCTTTTGAAGAGAAACGCCTTGTACAAGGGTGGGCTCATTGGGTGGGACACTTCCATTGTTTGGTCTCCTTTGGGTCTTCATCCTAAGAAAATATTTTTGTATTTTTGTTTGATTTTTGAAAAACTCCTGCAAAATAGAAATAGATAGTTAAAAACCATATGGGTTGCCTCCCATAAAGCGCTTTTGTTTTAAGTCATTTAGCTTGACTCCTTCTCTTTCTTTAATCGTGGTGAAGAGTGGCTGAAGGGCAAAGGATCCCTTTAGCTTCTCCATTCTCCGGTTCAGTGGCTCTTGTGGTGGTGTTGTCGCGCCATAGTCATCTCTCACATCATCTTTGAAAACCAATGCCTTGGGGAAAAGCTTCATAGTTCTCTCAAGCTTCTCTTCAATGGATTGGTCACCTTTAAGCTCCGAATCTTTTGGTGTAAAGATTCTTATCTTGTGAAAGAGATTAGGTGCACCATTAGTCTCCTCTTCAGCTCCATATTCATCAAAGGTTGGAAGTGAGATGGAGTTGATTCCTTAAAGACATTTTCATGCCTCGGCTCCAATGTTTTCTTCTTCTCCTTTGGTTTTGGGTAGCGCTCACTCTCTCTTCTTTCTCCATGCATCACGGCTTCTTTCTTAGGCGTGAGAGTGGCTTCTTCTGGTGGTAGCTTGGTCGCACTTGGCACTGACCTGAAATTTACACTTGGGAAAAAGATATCTTGCCGGATGTGGCCAAAAGATAGATGATTCCCAAAGTAGTTTAGGACCGCTCCAGCTGTAGCAAGGAATGGGGTTCCAAGAATCAGTTGATTCCTCTTTGAGCCTTCCCAAATCATGACTTGAAAGTCAGTTGGGACCGATCGACCCCCTATTTCCATCATGACATCTTCAAGCATTCCATAGGTTCCATGCACGATAGATCCGCGAACTCGACTCTTATCTTGGGGCTCTTGAATTCCTTGAATCCCAAATCTTTTGCAAGTGCAAGAGACATTAGATTAACATTAGCACCAGTATCACATAGGCAATCATGGAGTTGAATGCCATTGATACTTGAAGTTATCACAAACTTCCCCGGATCTTCTTGTTTTTGTAGTGGCTTGCCTTCAAGTCTTCTCTTGTAAGCTCTTCTTGATTCCCAACTGTATCTCTCCGGTTTGTGCCTCTCCTTAGGCTCATTTTCTTCTTCTTCCCCTTGAGATAGTGTAGGAACAATGTGCCATCTATAGATGAGACAACACTACAAAATTTTTGAGTGTTTACCTCATTTTGTTTCTTGGCCGCCTCGGCTGTTTGAGCGATTTGCACCTCAAGCTTTTGAACGTGAGTAGAGAGAGACCCAAACTTGCTGCTTAGATCACCAAACATGTGATCAAGCTTCTCATATAGGTTCTTGGTGATCAATCTCTGCTCCTCCATGTATTTCTTCAACGCCACGTCAACCTTCTCTCCGGTTTGGGTTGGATTTGTTTCTTGAGAAAAAGTGAATGGTTGCTTCACTTGGTACATCCCTCTTGGATAGACTTGTTGTGGCTTGGATTGGTATTGGCCTCCTTGATACGCTCCTTGATTGGGGTAGACTTGGTCATTTGGATTCTCCACATTGTTGCTCCGGTATGATAGGTTTGGATGCGCGCGAAATGGTGGATTGAATCCTCTATTCCCATAGTTTCCTCCAATGTAGTTGACTTCCTCTAGATTCTCTTCAGTGCCATCTCTCATGAAATCCATAAGAGTGTCTTCATTTGTGGCTAGGGCATCTTCAATGGCGTGAACTCCTTGCCGGCTTTAAGTAGTTGTGAAACCATGTTCCTTAGCTCCGAGATTTGAGCTGATTCTGATGAGCTCGTGGTCTTCACGCTTCTATTGTAGTCAGGGCATGCATTGGCATCACTAGCAGCGAGATTCTCAATCAAAAGCTTTGCCTCCGGCACCGACTTGGTCATGAAATTACCATTGCTCGCGGTATCGAGAGAAAGCTTGTATTTATGATCAATCCCATTGTAAAAGATGTTCCAAAGGTTACCTTCTGAAAAGCCATGGTTAGGGCATGTAACACCCCCGGTTCGGCTATGAATAGACTAAACCGCAGATGCCACAAGTGTCGAGGTTCATAAGATAGGCCGTCTTGGGTCTAAGAACAAATCAGAGCCCAAGTCAGCTAATCCGATGAATACGACCCTCTCGACCATCGGTTAAGGCTTTGCAACCTGCTCCTCCGGTCTTGAGTTGTGTTAGCTCCGGACAAGAGCTAATATCATTCGAGAGGCCAGATTTGTAAGAAATAACTTCATATAATAACCTTGTCAAAACAAGTTCTTACAAAACTTTATACTATTTTTCCGGCAAGGCCTAATGCCCAAAGCATAGCTATTGCATATAATAACCTGAAATCGAGTTTTACAAAAGCCAAGCCAATCTACTCCGGTCTTCAGCTGTTCTGCCTCCCGTCCACGGGCTTCAACTAAGGGTTACCTGTAAGACAAATAATCATCATGAGTAACCTAATGTTACTCAGTGAGTTCAGGACCCTCTATACAAAGGTTATTCCCCAAACCCAAACCCCAAAAGAAAAAGGCGGGATCTCATCCGCCACCTGCAACACAAAGCAAATTATGCAATATTGTTGCTATAGCCTTAAGACTAACCATACCCCAATCAAACAAGAACAGGTACGATCAATCCAAGACTATAACAACACTCAAACAAGCAATCAATCAATCAAGCAATGCACACAATCAATCTATATGCAAAGCAACCCTAATCAAGTAGCGGAATACTTGACTTCTACATGCAGTGAGGCCTCTAGGTGCATAAGCCACATTCTCAGCCCACGCCTGTGAAGGTTCACGCTCATCCGGAATCACACAGAAACTAGATGAACGCCTTCACCCGGGCACTACAGTCCATCGCGGTACCCGGTTCATCCTCCCATCTATTGGCCTTACTGGCGCACCATGCCAATGTCTGGTTGGATCCCATATTCATATGGTACCATACTCGGCCAAGGCAGCTGACCAGGTTATCCTCCGAGTCTTCCTCCCTTTATGCACAGCCTCCACGCTGCCAATCCGGTTGGGCTCTGACGTGCGAGAATGCGCTTGACTACACCTTCCTAAACAACATGTGGTTAGACACGCCACATGTTCTCAGTACTTAGCATATGGGCCTTTACGCACCACTATGCCTCATACCCTCGGTTCTGAGGCAGAGCTTCCCTTGCCTCGGAAGAGTACCCACACGAACCTCGAAAGATCTGGCGGCTCAGCCGTCCGTGATCTTTCCACATCGGAGTCATACTCAACATATGGGCCTTACGCACCACCATGTTAGCATGCACTCGAGGTTTAGCGGCATAGCCATGCTATAACCCCACAACCGATGCATTGATACGCATCTACACAAACAAGATCTGGCGGCTCAGCCGTCCGTGATCTTTCCACATCGGAGTCATACTCAACATATGGGCCTTACGCACCACCATGTTAGCATGCACTCGAGGTTTAGCGGCATAGCCATGCTATAACCCCACAACCGATGCATTGATACGCATCTACACAAACAAGATCTGGCGGCTCAGCCGTCCGTGATCTTTCCACATCGGAGTCATACTCAACATATGGGCCTTACGCACCACCATGTTAGTATGCACTCGAGGTTTAGCGGCATAGCCATGCTATAACCTCACAACCGTGGCATCTCTATCCACCTGCATAAACAAGATCTGACTGCATAACCTTCTCCGAAGGTTACCCATCACAATCTTACACACAAAAGAGATCTGCCAGCATAACCTTCCCCGAAGGTTACCTAACACAACCTCACAACACAAGAGATCTGACGGCATAACTTCTCTCTCTAGAAGATTACCCGTCACAACCTCACAGAGATTTCTGCAGCATAACTCTCCACAATTTTTACTAAACATTATTGTTTAGAGAGTTATACCACATACTTATGAAACGATAGAAGGAAATAAACTATAACCTAGCTACCGGAACTCACAGATTTTAGACGACCCGGCTGACCCCGTTCCTAGCCTACCCCGCTCTAGCCCGAACCCGATCCGCCTTTGGATCTTCTCTTCTTCTTCTCCACCTTGTTCTTCTTGTTCTTCTTCTTTCTTCTTCTTCCTCTCCTCTTGGGCGTTCTCCTCTCTCTCTCTCTCTCTACTTTCTCTCTCTTTCTTTCTTGTTTTTGGTGTGAGTTGAAATGAAGGCTGAAGGGGCCTTTATATAGGTTTTTGGGAAGCTCGAGGTGGCGTCTGAGGACTTCAGAACGTGACACCTCTCCTCTGCATGCAACCAATGGCGTTGAGGCACGCCTGCAGCTGCTTCTCCCATCCCATCCACTTGGATCGAATGACACCTTCCCATTGGTCCATTCTTCAAGCTGCTGGGTAGCTGAACGTGATTGGTCCATAGAAGATGAGCATCTCCTCCTTGATCCTATCTTCATGGAATGAGTGGCTCCTTCCTATTGGCTCCTTCCTCAAGCTGGTGAGTGTGTAGACATGATTGGTCCAACACATTTCTGTCTTCTTACGAACAGCTGAGTGCTCACACCTGATTGGTCCGTTGTGAAAGCTGCTGGGTATCTTCATTTGATTCGTCCATTTCTGGATAAGATAATCCAATCACAATGCTTATCCACGGCCTCACTATCTCCCATTAGGTGGTGTTGACACACGATTGGTCCAACACAATTTCGTCCCATTCCAACAGCTCAATGTCACACTGCGTGATTGGCTGAACGGTTTTGGCTCCATCTGAGTAGCTTGGTGTCTCCTCCTTACTGGTTTAGACCATCTTTATCCTCCTCAAGTAGCTGGTGTCACCACTTGATTGGCTTAGAACAAGATTGCTCCAAAAGTACGTTTCCTCGTCCAGAGGGTTTCGTACGTTTCCCTGTCCGGAGGGTTTCGTCCCCGTCATGTTTGAGAATTAAAATCTCCTATTTTAATCCTTCTCTCATTTCCATGTTTCTGAGCTTCCACATAGTTGCTTGGAAATGTGCGGAATACCTCCATCCCGAACATTTACGTTTCTTGCAGTCGTTGCGGGATAGATCTTGGGCGTTCGTCCCATCTCTCAATCTGCTCGTCCGATTTGCATTCTGCTTCGACCAAACTTCTTAGAATGGTCTCTTATGTCGTCCAAACTCTTCTCTTCTTGATTTGGAGAACTTTGATATTTCGTCGTCCTGTTGACTCTTCCCATGTTCGTACAATGATCGTCCCACCTGGACAATCTTGCTGTATCTTCACTTCTGCTCGTTCGTTCTTGATCATGTCTTGATCCAAGTCTTCGTTGTGATCTCTGTATTAGATCCCACGTCTTTGTCTTCCAATCCCAGAGTGTTGATCTTCCCATCCCGGCCTTTGGGATGTTTTAGGTCTTGATATGGGGTATCACAGGGCAGCTCCTTGTATACTCCTTGAATCTCTCCAAAGCTTCATAGAATGACTCCATTGAATCTTGCTTAAAACCAGAAATCTTGCTCCTTATAGAGTTGGATCTTTGCTTAGTGTAGAATTGGTTCAAGAAAGCTCCCTTGTATTCATTCCATGTTGTAATGGACTGAGGTGGTAAAGATTTTACCCATCTTAGCGCCTTGTCACTTAGAGAAAAAGTGAATAGCTTGCACTTGAAGTAATCCGGCGATACTCCATTAACACGAGTTGTGCTACATATCTCCTCAAAGGTGTCGACGTGATCAAGAGGATGCTCAGTGGGCAAACCATGGAATTGGTTTTGCTTCACCAAGGCAATGATCTGCGGTTTGATCTCAAAATCGTTCCTTGGAGGTAGAGGTGGTCGGATTGGATTCCGATCCATAAAGAAAGCGTCGGACGAATCAAAGTCTCCCATAGTTTGGTGCCTTGGATGCTGCGCGTTTGGCTCTCCTTGGAGGTGCGTGAGGTTGGTCTTGAGGCATCCCTTGGTTGTCACCGTGACGATGATGTCCATTTGCAAACGCCGGAGGTGGTCGCGGCGGGTTAAGAGGTGGCTGTAGCGGCTCAGCTGCATCGGGCGCGTTCGGATTGGGTCGAGGAACGTCTCTGGCCGGTGCTGGCTGGTCAGCTCTAGCTTCTGCTGGATTAGGAGGATCATTGGCTCTCCTCTCTTGGTCGGGCGGGTTGTTTGGCCTATTTGGCGCGCCTTCTCCGCCTGGATTCATTCTTTCTCTCCTTAGCCGCCTAAGTGTGCGCTCAAGTTGGTCAATGTCAAGATCTTCTTCAATGGTTGTATTTGGATTGGACCTTCTTGTCATGCACCTTAGAAACACACAAAGAGAGAGTTAAGTAAAATTTTTATGAGTTTTTAAGATTTTATGAAAAACAAAAACAAAGAAAAGTGAAAGATGAGATGAGCTAGTCTTGAAATCAATCAAGAGGTGTGAAGGAAAAGCAACTCCTCCCCGGCAACGGCGCCAGAAAGCTTGATGGCGGGTTTAGATTGCCTCAAATTTTCACAATTTATAAACCCAACTAATGAGCTGCAAGTGCACAGCCGTGTTGTAGTCGGGGTCGAACACGAGGAGGAAGTGTTCTCACTTAACACCTTGTGAGATTGGTTTAGCTAGCTCGCAATATGAGATGGTTTTGGACCTAGAATGAGAAAACAAAACAAAAGAATGTGAGTGAGTTGTAAACAATTTAAAACAAGAGTTAGGCAAAGGACAATCATATGGAGCAATGATGAAAAGATAGTTGCATGGGATGTGTGTAGAGCCGTCTTGAACATGAATCACTAGTGTATGGTCTTTCCACTGTCGTGGCTCCAACCACTATGTTTAAAACAACCTAATATACTCAGCTTTCGTTGGCTATTAGAATTGCAAACATGCATTAAAGGTGATCAAGATTCAATTGTTCACAATAAACCATAACTCAGCTTTCGTTGGCTATGATCTATTGCTCACCAAATACTAGTTTTGAGATCTAGATTCAGCACTGTCGTGGTTCTATTTCTCTAAGATCAGATTACTAGATGTACGGTAGAGTAATCATGCATTAAGCTCAAGTAAAGGTGAAGATCCATAAGATAAATCCCAATAAGTTGCAACACAATCAAATCATCACGGCCACCATAGATCTCCTCGGCCTAACTAAGAGATCTACTCGGCCATGATGCAAACAAGCAAGCAAAGCATGATTGTAAACATTATGCAAGTATTAAAAGAGATAAAGGGATGAAGAAAGCTTCTCTATTGATGAACAAAGTCGGATTCTCCCTTGAAAACTCTTAAATCAAGTTTATAGAAATGGAAACAATGAAAAAGAAAGAACAAGAGTTGAGCGGCGCCTCCTTCTTCTTGGACGATCTCCTAGGGCTTCTCTCTCTTCTCTCTCTTCTCACACGTAACTCTTTGATAATTTTCGGACTGGACTCTCGACTCTCTTCTCAGCGGCTAAAAACATGTATATATGGGCGAAGTCGCGTAGGGTTTTCTTCATGCCGGAAAAGGAAAGTTTCCCATGCGAGCAGCCTTCTTCTCCACGTCGTGTATGGGCCGACATTGTACCAAGGAAAGCTCCAAACATTAGCCAGGCCTCTTCTCTATTCGATCAAGGCCTTTGGCGCTGCTGCTCGGGCCATTAGACACTCCAAATCCTCCATGGGCTTCGTTTGCTCGCTTACCGGACATGTCTCGGTAGAAAATAAGTCTAGGCCTCATAGTTGATCCAAATGGCTTCATTCCACTTCGACGTGATGCATGACTCAAGTATCTATCTTTCCATATCAAGATCGTAACTTTTGGACGTCGGGAACTCCTCCGCGCGCGGCCAAACTTCCGAAGCTTCGTTCTGCGCGCTAGCGAGAACTAACACTTGGAGATAAAATGATCTTCTTGACTTGGAAACTTGCATGGATCTTGATTTAGGGCTCTTTTACTCCTTTTTGCATCCTTTTTGATTATTTCACCTACAAAGACTTCAAATCCCACAAATACAAGAAAACTACCTCTAAAGGCAAAGAATCTTGCAAAAACCGTTTGAAAACATAGGTAATATATAGTAAAATCATGTAAAATATGTGATATCACAAGTGCACAGATCGCGGAAGTATGGGTATCGAACACAAGGACTGGCTATTGAGTACACTTTGTAACTATGGATTTTGGATCAAGCTAAAACAAAAGTATGATTTGAGGTTGTAATGGTGAACCGAACTAGCAAGTAAACGAGGTTGTAAATCAATAAGGAAAAGCGCTAGGTCAACAGGGGCTAATCGCAGAGAAGCAAGCAATGATCAATGAAACAATGATAGATGAATTGATTAGGGATGTTGGGATATTAAGAACCGTCTAGAACACAGATCACGAATATAAAACCATTCCACTTTCGAGGCTCCGGCTCCTTTGTTAATCTACCTAGTCGCTAAACTTTTGGTATGTCCCTAGGTGATTAAATCAAGCTTTAGAATGAATAGGTTCTGATACAGTTCACTAGATTATAGTAGATCAACTTTCGCAGTCTAAGAAACCTAGCTTGTCAAAGAATATGTCCGGCGAATGATACAACACTGTCGAGGCTCAAATCAACCTAAGATCGGATTACTAGATGCGCGGTAAAGCAATCAGCATTAGTTAAGTGCACAAGACGAGACAAAGACTCTAATATAATCCCTAGCTAATCATTGAAATCAAAGATCATGCAAGCAACTCATTGAATAGTAACCCTAGCAACCTAACTAGTGGATTACTCAGACATGATCAAAGCAAACACACATAGAGATGAAGAAAACATGATTGCAATAAAACTTAGAGAAATCGAAATACAAGGCGGCTCTCTTTTCACAAGAGGCTAAAAAGCTATATATATAGTGCTAGGTCTTTTGAGGCGGCTTAGGGTTAAGCCGGGCCTTGAAAATATGAAATCGGGCTTCAAAACGGGCTTCGGGTCGACCGCGGCGTTGGACGGTCGGTCGGGACGATCGGCCGGATGATCGGGTCATGGCGTGGCGATCGGAACGGTCGTGGCCGGATGGATTCGCGTCGGCCGCTGGTCGGACGGGTGAAGATTGGCCGATGTTCTCGGCCGGACGGGACGTTCTTCCCGGCTCGGACGGCGCATCGGCCGTGGTACGCGAGAAGGTTGCGCGGCCGCGAGGCTTGCTTCCCGGCTCGCGCGGCATGGTCGTGCGCGGCATGGCGGTGGTGTGGCTTGGCCGACCGCGGGACATATTCCCGGGTCATGCTGTGTCGGCCGGTGGTTTGAACTTTGGCCGAGACTTCAGACGGACGGATGTTTTGGCCGAGCGGAACAACGTTTCTCGGCCAGCCGGACTGCGCGGTTTGGGCGCTGATTCTCGATAGAGCCGTCTGGACAGTCTTCACTCTTTTGGTTGTAACTCCTTTTCTACTCATCCAAATTAGGCCGTTCCAGTTGCGTTGGAAAGTTAACTCAATCAGAGCACGCAGGGAACTGGTCTTGATGAAATCCATTGAGTAGATCTTTTTCTGGGCCCTCTTAAAGTTGGTGCTTGTGCATGGAGCGGCTTGAAGTGCAAATCCTATGGTTTTGCTCCAAAATGCATCATTTCACCTGTTTAGACTCTAGACACTATAAACACAGTAAAACTACCTTTTTAGATAGAAAACCTGCCAAAAACCATTAGAAAACAATACTAAAACAGTATAAAAAGCATGTAAAATAGAGGTATATCAACTCCCCCAGACTTAGATCTTTGCTTGTCCCCAAGCAAACAGAATCTAATCCGTGAAAGAGGTTTGAAAACGTGGAAACTCCCTTGCTCTTTTGAATATCCTGTGAAGGGTTCCTCTCCTGTTGATACGCCCCCGGACTAGATCGGCTTTGAAGTTAAGTGAATGGATGGATCGGATCACAAGGAAACTGATGATGGATGATTGAATGGATTGAAAGATGGATCGAGTGGCTTATACTAGAGAACCCGCGGAAATGGATCTCTAACACCACCTTCGTTGATATTAGTTGATATTACGCACAACAAGTGGACAGATGATTCATCAAGCATAAGAGAGGTTTTTGGATTTAAAATGTTTGATAAACTTCAAATAGAGAAAAGGGTTTCAGTTTTAAAGGAAACGAGAGAGAGAGAGAGAGAAGGGAAGATGAAGAGATGTTGGAACAAGCTCCAAGCATCTCGAGAACACACACAAAATATAAATGCACTAAGACTAGAAAAACGACCCCTCGGCTTCTGGCGCCTCCATTTGAATTCTCTCTTGGGCCGGACCTAAACATATGGAGTAAAAGAGGGTTTGGGAAGTGTGACGTGGGCCTCGTTAAAAACCTTTTCAAGAAAACCCGGTGGGACAAAACTTGACAAGGGAAAAAGAGTACACAAGTCACACTTGTCTCTTTTATCCCAAGTGTAAGGCCTTCAAACAAACCAAAGTGGTTGGCTTGTGTTCTTGTTGGTTCAAGGCGCTAAGGACTTTGCCAATTGCTTGGTTTAGTGCCTTAGTTCGAGAACGAGTGATTGGGCCAGTTGGAATGGCTAAGCTCTCCTCAGGTTCAAGCTGCACGGCTTCAAGTCCCTCCTCGGCTTCAAGCTGCTCCATTCCTTCTTCTTCCTTGGCCAAAGGCTGCGCGGCCTGAACCTCCTCATCCATGATCGCATCACCTGTATTCCACTAAGAACATAGGCAACATAAGGTTAGCTTCACATACACCCTGCAAGTTTAGCGAACAATACCAACCCAACTAGTCTCATCCAGCAATCCAAACTCTCTATTGCTAACCTCTTGCATAAATTTAAAGCGTGAGTTCTTTATCAAGGGAACATCGATCAATTGAACTTGTTCTTACCCACTTGATCTTCTCCAAGATTGTCTTTGAAGTGCAATGAGTTCTTTTCCTCTCTCTTTCTCACATCAGAACTTTGAAAGGTCAATTTCTCCCTACTTTTCTAGGGTATCATTTTATTTTTTCTATTGACCCTTCTTTCAACCACAGGATAAGTCTTTAGCTTGTTCCTTGTTTGACTAAGGTATTCCATAAGACATGAAGGTACAGACATATGCATTCCTCATGCTTACTTGTTTTCCTTGTGCTCTTTGAGCTTTTCTCATAAACATTACTTACCATTTGGGATGGGAGAGAGAGGAGAACTCTTTAAAGGTTAGACAAATCTCATTGAAAATCAAGCAAGGAACTGTCGACATGTATGCCAATCCCCTTGACAAGAGTATTAAGATTGATTAAGGGTGAGGTTAACTCTAGATTGCTTGGTTACCTTAGAAATTTTGCTGAGCTAGCATGTCGATCCACTGTAAGAGCTTCTGTTAGGCTTGTGCCTTTAGCTGATTTCTGCTCTAGGGTCATGGATTGTTAGCACAACACTCTCAATTCTCAAAGCAAGTTCATAACTTCCGGACTGGTTTTTGACTCAATAAAACTTTTTGAAAAACATGAAACAAAGTAATAAAACATAAGAAAAGAAAGAAAAATGCATTAGTAACACAATAAAACTCCCCCCAGACTTAACTTGCACCGTCCCGGTGAAAGCAAATCACATTAAGGTGAGAGGTAATATTCAAAAGAAAGAAAAATAAAGAGAAATTCATTAAAATGAGATAGGGATAGAAAATGGAGATTTGTAAGTGTCCATTGCACTAAGTACCACTTGAGATGACTATGTGTGGCAGTGAGAAGAACTCTCTTCCTCATCTATGGGGTCATCGCCTTCTGAACCAAGCTCTGAGTCTAGTGAGAACTCACCAAGGTCAGGCTCATATGGCTCTCTAGCGGTGGAAGAAGGGCGAAAGAGTCTCTCCGGTGCAATGTGGCGAACTACACGAACTAGGCGTGAGATGAAGCGAGATTGGCATCCACGATCTTCTCCAGCTTGCTCACACGGTCTAGAGCTTGATGCGGCCATGCCAGTAGTGAGAACATGGCGTTCTTGGTGGCGGCGTTGAGTCTTGACTGTGCTGAAGTGTGCGATAGGTGAGCATGGGGAATGATGGTTTCTCACTTGATGGAACATAGAAGTCTTCCTCCTTGGGCTGGAAAGTGACAACACCTGAGCGTAGGCTTGGGATGTCTTCATGTGGCAGCAAGACAAGGGAAGTGTTGGTTGGACCAATTGGAAACTCATAGCAAAACCGGTTGGGTCTTTAGTCCAACGGTTTAGGAAGTGGATGTGCTGAAGGCATGGAGATCCAAAGGGATTGGCTTGGGTAGTGGCTCATAGTTGGGAATGTCAATCCCCACATGTTGTACTATGGCTGTGATAAGCTCCCAAAACGAACACAAAGCTTCTTGTTGCCTTCCAAGTCTTTAGCTAGATTCCTCACATTGATAAATGTCTTGGCAAGTAAAAGGCCAAGGTTGGCCTTGTACTCATGCTTGATGAATGGTGTGGTGAGGATGTAGAACTCATCGGTTGTGACCTTGTTGGCTTCTTGTTTGCATTGGAAAGTGGTGGAGATGAGGCGGTGCACATAGCGAATGGCTGGATGAGTGATTCTAGACACCTTTGACCTTGAAGGTGATATACCTCTATTTTACCTACTTTTTATGCTATTTTACTATGGTTTTCTAATGGTTTTCTAGTGGATTCTTGTGTTAAAAGGTAGTTTTTATGGATTTATAGTGCAAAGAGTCATTTTAGGTAAAAAGGTGCATTATGGAGCAAAACAGAGATTTGGACTCTAAACCAGTTCAATGCCCTGCATCAACTTTGGATGGAGCTAGAAAAAGATCTACTCAATGGATTTCATCAAGACCAGTTCCCTGCGTGCTCTGATTGAGTTAACTTTCCAACGCAACTGGAACGGCCTCATTTGGATGAGTAGAAAAGGAGTTATAGCCAAAAGAGTGAAGACTGCTCCAGACGGCTCTATCGAGAATCAGCGCCGAACCGCGCAGACCGGCTGGCCGAGGAACGAATGTTCCGCGCTCGGCCAAAACCGTCCGTCCGACTGAAGTCTCGGCCAAAGTCCAAACCGCGGCCGATCACACACACGACCCGGGAAACTAAGCCCGCGGTCGGCCACGCCACAACGCCACGCCAGCCGCGCACGACCAGCCGCGCGAGCCGGGAAACGCCTCGCGGCCGCGCAACCTCTCGCGTACCACGGCCGATGCTTCCGTCCGAGCCGGGAAACACGTCCCGTCCGGCCGAGAAACCATCGGCCAATCTTCATCCGTCCGACCACACCGGCCGACCGTGAAATCATCCGGCCACGACCGTTCCGACTCGGCCAAAGACCCGACTGTCCGGCCGATCGTCCCGACCGACCGTCCGAACGCCGCGGTCGACCCGAAGCCGTTTTTGAAGCCCAATCCGCACAATTCAAGCCCAAAGCCGGCGCCGACCTAGCTAGATTAGGTTTAGCCGCTTTTTCATACTTAGTGCATTATAAATACTTCTTTTTAGCCTTGTAACTCAAGAAGGAGAGAGACCACAATATATTTTACATCTTAATAAAGTTTTGCTTGCTTTTACTTTGTTCTTGCTTGTTCTCTTTCTAGAGAGGATTCGAATCTCTGTTCTTATGAATATGAATTCGTGTTCCTTCTCTATGTCTGAGTAGTTTACTTGTTAAGTGATAGGAAGTCAAAGGATAGCATTCATGTATGCTTGATGATTGATCACAATTAGGGTTTTACTTATAATCTCCATCTTTGCTTATACTTAATGCTTGTTGTTAATCTGGCCAATTAGCATATGCCTTTAGGTTGATTTGAGCCTCGACAGTGCTGTATCATTCGCCTGAACTAGTATTTGGTGGGCAATCTCTTTTAGACTGCGACAGTTGATCTACTTGTAGGTTGTGAACAATTGAACTTATCGAACTAATGCTTGATTTAATCACCTAGGGACATACCAAAAGTTTAGCGACTAGGTAGATTAACAAAGGGGTCGGAGCCTCGACAGTGGAATGATCATACCATAGTGTTTCAAGTTCTAGATTAGCACCTAAGTGCGGTAACCCTAATTGATTGATTTCATGCTTCTTGAATTGCTTATCTCAAGACTATCCTATTGCTTAGCCTTTCTCTCCTATTGAATCTCACTTTCTTTATACTTGCATGCTTTACTTTCTCTGCACTCAACCAACTTATACTTTTGCCCTAGCTTGATCTCAAACTCATAACTTGTAGTGTGCAATCTGGTCCTCGTGTTCGATACCCGTTTACTACTTCTGACCTGTGCACTTGCAGAATCAGGGATAGGAAAGGGGAAGACCTGATCCCGCGATCAAGTTTTTGGCGCCGTTGCCGGGGACCAATTCGCACCTACAAGCTCTTGCAAGAGAGCTAGTCTAGGGTTTCATCTTTTCCTTTTTGTTTTGTTATTTTTCCTTTTTTCTTTTGATTTGGTTTTTCCTTTTTGTTTTTGCTTTTTCAGGTTTTCCTAGTTAGATATGGAGAAGGAGCCACAAGCCTTTCCTATAAAGGCGATGCCAATTCGCCACATACCACCTCAAAGACCTCTTGGCGAACAAGAGATGTCAAGCCCTCAAGCACCACCACCTTCATGGGATAGTCCTCCAAGACCATCCCTTGAAGACAAAGAAGAAACTTCTTCCTACCTTGAAGCAGCCGACCTGGAGACGTCTAGCCAAGCCGCATCACACCAGAGAAGAACACCTTCTAGCCACACCAGAAGAGGAGATTAACCCTGAGCTGATCGAGTTCGTGAAGAGAGATCAATTCCATGATCTGTTTTCAGAGTATGCGCTGGAGCATGTGGATCACTGTAGTAACCCTGGTGTGAGATGAGGAGATTTGACCAATGGACTTCATGGAGAGGAGCTAGAAGTCAAAAAAAACATTTCGATCGAAGAAAATCGGGAAACGAACAAGTGGAAATCAAGATAGACAAGTTTGCAAGCATACGGACGAACGCGGAGTATCGAGACGGCCATGTCCGGAACAAGAAAAATGGAAAGTTGTGGCATTGAGACAGAAACTTCAGGGCATCAAGAGGTAGACAAAAGAGGATGTTCGGTCGAGACAGAAGTTGATTTGACCGAGTAGATCTCGAGATACGAAGCTGGCCGCTTGATGGCTATGCCAAAGGGCGGCAAAGCTTGTATCGGCGATCGGGTCATGGATTAGACCAAGGAGGATGTTGGCGTGGACTTAGGGAAGACTAAACCTATATTTTGCGTGTTAAGTGAGGCCAAGGACATCACGGATTGATCGACCAATCAGAACGTGATAAGTGGCGAGAATGTTCCCTTTAAGGAAACACATGCCTAAAGAAGAGGAGAGTGGTTTGCCATTAAGTAAGAAACATTCTTTCTTGCATGGGTATAATCTTTGTCATCTGTACAACATTCTTGACACCTAGAAGAATCTTGAGAGAGAGGAGAAGATAACAAGACACATGCTAGCTTCCAAGAGAGTACATGTGGAGCGATGTGATGTTCATACAATGAACATGGACGTGATACACTGTATTTGGCTCTATCCTAGGAGGAGTATGTGAGTTAGTGAAGGTGCAGACCTAAGGGATAGGTGCATCTTTTGATTGGTTTGTTTTCTCGTGGAGTGCGCGGAGAAAAGACGAAACGATGGGGTGTGGACATTTGG